CCGCCTTGGGTTCGTACTTGACTCTTCTCATCTTCTTGTGGATGCGAATCATTTCCATGTCGGCTTCGTTGATCACCCATTCATCATCAGTCGCCAACACGAGATTGTCAGGTACCTGTTCATGAGAACAGCATCCCTCGGTCTTCTGATGGAAGCCGTACTCGTAGTGGGAGAAGTAGGTGAGGAAGCTCGACTTCTTATGCTTGCTGAAACGCACATTCCACATCAGCTGACTGAGTTCAAGAAGATCAAGTACCAAGTGTGAGCTGGGTGCAACCTTCAGCCTCACATCCTTGATTCCCAGCACAGGGCTGCTGAGTAAGGCCTTTTCCGGATGGAGCTCGAACTGGAAACGAAGATTGCGCATCTGAGGTAAGGACATGAGAATGGGAACATGCCCTTGTTCCACAATGTCGAACTCTGTGGATTGAACTGCAAAGTCCCGGTCGTACATGCAAATGACCAACTTCTGGTTGCATTTGGTAGACTCGGAATTGGCAAAGGTGAACTGAGAAGTGGTCTCAGCAATGGTGTACCATATGCCACAGTTCTGGTTCTTGTCACAGAACTCCATGAGGTCCTGTGCGGCCACTCTCGAAGCCATTGCTCTCGTGCATCCCAAGTCCAACACCATCGCGGTCGGCGTCAAGGGCTGAGAGATGAAGGCTTCCTCGATCTCATTGATCTTCTCTTCGGTGGCCATGAAAGAAAAGTTCGGAGTGTTGAGATGTTCAACGAAGAAGGTTGTGGCGGCTGTGATGCCGCTCGGGGCAGCATCAGCAAGCTGGCTCTGTCCGTCTTTTCCGGACTTTCCATCTTTTCCATCCTTGCCAAACTTGCTCTTTCCTTTGCCCTTCTTTCCTTTCTTTCCTTTTCCTTTGGCTGCATAGGATTCCTCAGACTCATACCAGGACCAGTCATCCCAGGACTGATCGCTCCACTGGTAATCTTGCCATTGTCCTTCTGCTTGCCATGCTTCTGATTCTTCGGCAAGATGTGACCTGCCTTTCTTCCTTTTGAAGAAGCGCCTTCCTTTGGATCCTTTGCCACCTTTTCCTTTGCCTTTACGGTGGCCCTTGAATCCGCGCCTCATCTTGCGGCCTTGGAAGCGCCGCTGGAACCATGAATAGTTCTCGTCGTCGTAGACCCAGAAGGCGTCCTCATCCGCTTCGAGGAAACCTTCGGTGCCATCTTCCTCGTCCTCGACCCAGTAGCCTTCATGATCGTTCAAATATCCTTCATCGATCACAAGGAAGGTCTTGCGGCCACCGTGGCCGGAAGGAGCGAGGAGTGGATTGTCGACGGTAGTCTTGGTCGTACAGAAGATCTCCAGGTAGACTTCGCGAAGCTCGGCCGTGTTGTAGTCAGCCAGGACTCGGTTCCGATGCGCCATCAGTGATGTCAACACCTGACGCTGATCCTGTGTCAGATCAGACAGAGACACAAAGATCAAAGCGACCAGGTTGGGCGTGATCGGAATGGTCCGAGCATGCTGCTCTCTGAGCCGTTCGTTGGCTCTCTCCATTGCCTGAGCTGGCGTAAGGTTTTCTTGTTCTTCTGGAGGAAGTCCTACTATGAAGGCTCTGACCTCTGCATTGTTCGGGTCCTCGATCGGCAGATAGGTATCGTTCCACGCTTCTTGCATTCTCTGAACAGAGAGTTGAAACCTGGTAATCCAACGAAGCATGTCTCCGTTCCCACGGTGCATGTTCATGAACTGCTGGAAGCGATAGAGAAAAACATTCGCTGCTCCCTTCACGAAAAGCGGCCGCAGGAAACTCTTGAAGTACTTCACTCCGTTGTTCGGGTCCTTCAGGCGATCTCTGTCGAGAAGTCTCTTGTGGATTGCTGCTTCACCTTCTAGCCGATTTCTCAAAGCTGGTCCACGCTTATCATTGTCTAGCTCAGTAATGTCACACCAGTCATCGATCGCATCTTCATAGGCAAACCAACTGCTTCTACCATCATAAGATGGAGGTACTTTTGTGGTCACCTGCTGGAAAGCTGAAAGACGGTGTAATTCATTGAGATGACGATGATTAGTCGCGAAAGATTCATTTCCGTGGAGGAGGTAGTCATCATCTCCTCCTTCATGCTCAAAGATAGTCGCAGAGTGGCTAGCCATTGCGCTGTTCTTGGATCGAGCCCCGGGAGAAACCTCTTCCGGTTATCTTCACCTGAGTGAAGTGTGCCGGAGAGACTCCGGTCACCTTCACCTGAGTGAAGCACACCGGGTATTCCGGTTGCCTCCACCTGTGTAGAGAGTACCGAACGGGTACCTCCACAAGTGTGAAGCTTCCCGTTTCCCGGGAGCTCCGCTACCACGTTGAGATGTAACCTGGACGTGTATCCCCTCGCTAGGCGTACAGGAACACAGGCACTCAGGTGTCTCTTTTGCTACAGGCGCACAGCTGTAGTCCACTGCACTAGAACCTTGAGCAACAGGCATGGATACATGCAAGTGATACGTGAAACAGACAGGCACCTGGATGTGTAACATTCAGTGTTTCACCCCCTCCCCCCTCCCCTCTCTCTACTGCGTCCCGTCCCCACCCCCAACCCCAATCCCACTCACCATGCACATAACACACCAAAAACCAAGCGCGCGCTGGCACCATTTCCACAAACTTTACCACTTTGTCTATCCTCCTTGGAAGAACACGTCGAGTTGCTGTATTTCTCGCACACAACACAACTTCGTTCGCCGATGTTGTGAAAACGCTGGTAATTACAATGTCTTTTTGCGTCTGAAGTGTATGAGTTTATGCTTTGTGAACAAGTTGTATAGCATCACCCTTCCGTGTCTATGAACAAATGGTTTGTTCAGGGCACGTGAGCTGCTTACAGAAGTGCTGTATCTTCTCACGGTTCACAGGGTCTCGGCTGTACACAGACCGTCGCGATGTACACATCAAGGACAGTCGTAAGGATGGAAGGCGGTTTAGGGTTTAGGGACCAGAAAGAACCCTCAAAGCCTTATTTTGACATTCCATCATAGTTTCACTCTTCAATAGAAGCTAAATTCTGGCAATATCCGACATTGCTACTGCCAGCACTACAGCAGTTTTTTGGGGAAATTGCGTTCTTTACTTCGAGATCAGCTTATGTGACTTATGTGACACTGATGTATTGTATGTATGTCATAATGCAAGGCTTCCGAGCCTTTGCTTCCTGGATATGACGATATACACTGTGTGTGCTGTTGTGTTTCGCTGATTTCCGCTATTCGCTTGCCTTGTGCTGTTGATTTCGACGAACGTGGTGATACATCCATATTTTGAAAAATTGTGGATCTCGACAAAAACGCATCTTCGACTGGGAAAACCATGATGCAGAGTGTATGCGAGTTGAGGACCGTGTTAATGTGAAAGTGGTGGGGTGGCAACTGGGAAACAACTGTTCAAGGGTCATCGCAACCTAAATCACATGAACCGAACAGAAAGCTATGTATTGCTGTGAAACTGGAAGGCCCTAGGCTCCAAATACGTAGCACTGCGTTACAATAGAAACTAAATCTAAAACACACTACTCACTGATTTGTGTACATACAGGCAGTGTGCACCCCTGACACAATGTGTGTTGTAGCACTGCATAAAACATACTATGTATGTACATGCTCCCAGTTTGCAGCAGTAAATTCCTGCGATTGTCAGCATTGTTGTATACTGTTGTGAAGCCCCGCATAGGTAGGTAATACTGCAATCTTCAAACTGGGAAGAAAGTGGAAACTCACGGACATGTGCCAACTCAACACACAAGGAAATCAGAACACGGCGGGCGACACGGCTCCAAAGATTTTCGAGAGTCCAAGTTGTGGAAACAAATGCACGGTGCGTGAAATACTTTGTCTTCTTTCGTTTCGCTCGGATGTGGCCGGGTGTCCACTGCGTACAGGGTGCCATAATTAGCGATGATTATTCGTACCATGACCATGCAAGCACATAAACAGTGCATGTGCTCATGTAAGTTTAGCTGTGGAATATATACATGTGCACGTGTATTCGAGTGTATGCATTTTATATGTTCATAGGCCCTCATGGCCTTTTACAAGCAATTGCAACCACACACACATGTATAAATACATATATATATATATATATATACATACGTACGTACATATATGCACATGCATAGGTGCTTCGTATAATGCTAAAACGCCAAAGACGCCCAAAAACATAAAATGCAAAACCCAGGCCCCATGACAGCCCGCTCTCTAGGGTTAAGGGTTTAGGGGTTTAGGGTTCAGGGTTTAGGGGGTTTAGGGTCTAGGATTTAGGGTTTCAGTTTCATGACTTAGAAGACAGAAGATGTTGTTGCCACAGTGCGCTGGCATATGCATCTTGCTGTCGATGCTGCTGTTCATGGGGAGAAAAGCACAGGTGCTGGTCTGAGCATTATTGTATTGACTGCTTTGCGTCAGGAGCTCGTGCTGAGTATGCTCATTCTACAACAACAGTTTGTCACATGATTGATGACTCGTGGCACAATCCAAGCTATTGCACTGCCTAAACTCCCAAAGGGTCCTAGGTACTGCTATGGGGGATACTTCCCTGGATCATAACAGTAATTCCTAATATAGAAACTCTACATTCTACTATACAGGTACTTTGGACCCTTTGGGCCAGTGAACCCAGCCTTCACAAAAGAGTGGCCTCACAGATTTCACCAAGGCAGCCCATGGAAGACAACATACACAAGCCCGGAATCGCTCACATCTGTACTCTCTCTCTCTCTCTCTCTATATATATATATATAAAGAACTTTTGCATAACACCCTTTTGTCAACCAAAATGTGCTAAAACCGTAATTGAGCTCCTAAACGAATGCCGTACTAACCCTACATTGCAGGCATAACCTGAAGCCCCAAACACCAAATCAAGGGGGAAAATCGGGGACCCTAATATAGTAATTACCCTAAATAGTAGGCTCCTTGTTATAAGGACCCCTCAATAAGGTTTTCTTCGGAAACTACCAAATCTGAATCCCTGCTGGGTGAAAGCCTGCACCCGGCGGTCGAAGCGTCCGGGACGCAGCAAGGCGTTGTCGAGGATGTCCGACCCTAGGCGGTTTAGGGTTTAGGGTTTAGGGGTTTAGGGTTTAGGGTTTAGGGCGAAGATACCCTCGTAAGGAACATCGTAAAACTCTTGATGGTGCAAAGGTGAAAGGTACATCACGGCCGCATTGTATTACTACTAAAGGTCGAAACAAAAATCACGGCAACATTGTGTAACTACTAATAAAGGTCGAAACAATAATGGAATCTAGCGGGTTTGAGACTTCTGTTTCGGTCTTGGAAGTTGGAGGTTGCAGAGAACGGCTGCTCTTCGGCATCTGAGGCTTTGAGGGTTATCTTAGTTTTAGGGGTTAGGGTTTAGGGTTTAGGGGTTAGGGATTTAGGGGTTTAGAGTTTAGGGTAGCCGAATAAGCGTTCTAACTTTCAGCTCTATAGATGAGCTGAGATGTTGTCATCCCAAAGTATACTCATTCAACTCCGAAGTTAGATGGCCTGGACGAAGCTTAGGCCTTCGTAGTCCAAGCTGAAACCCTAACCCGTAGTTTAGGCTTCTCGGTTTAGGCTTCTCGGCCTTGAAGTTTATTCCAAGATCATCATAAGGGCTATCAGATGAGATGTTTTTGGGTTGGTAAGAGGGTTGTACCCAGAGAGCCCAAGGGACCCATTTAATTAAGGAATAGAGCTTGAATCATAATATGAAGCCCTAGATAGTTTAAGCCATATTCCTGAATTAAGAGCCCAATGGGTAGGGATTCGGGCTACAGTTGTCATAAAAGCAAAAAGGTCAACACTGGATATTCTACAAAGGTTGTTCTTGATCGATATTGCGACTTCTAAAGCTTGGGGTGTAAGCCTTACCTGCAGCTCAAAACCTTAAAAGCAAGGCTACCGGCCCCCCTAGCTCGCCGGTATAACCATGGAGATACGACAAACTAGCCCGTTGCACATAGGCAAGGTCTAGAATCTGGAAGCCCAGGGTCTGGGCGTGAAGCAGCTACGAGTAGGGTGGAATGTTTCAACTCTGCCCAGGGGCCCTATAAGAAGTCGCCTTGGTGATTACTCAAGCTCATGCAGAATTTTTCTGTGAAGCTTCAAGTCAGGTTGTCTGTCGCTGCAACAAAGTTGCTGTTGGTGGCCGCGACGACAATCACGCCGCTGTTGCCTTCGGGATCTGTGTTTCAAGGCTTGAAAAGCATAGGCCTTACCTCTAACTCCAAGCCCTGCAACCTAGCAGGCGACCCCGTTGCTATTATAGGGTATGACGTAGGAGCCCCTCTAAAGCCCGTCTATATACCATACATTGGGTGCGGCCCCCACTCAGTAATAGTTGAATAATATTCATAATATAGATATAGTAGGACCTTAATAGTAGCCCTATCATAGACTCTTACTGTATGGGGGCCGTACCTAAACTATATAGTACTATATAGGCACATGGACTCTCAGGGTGTTCCAAGCCCTGATTTCCTAAACTCCTCAGCCCGAAACCCTGGCGCTTGCCGTAAGCTGTGCTCCTGAGGTCCTACAGGGAACTCCAGAAAGTTGGAATATGGATTAATGGTAGGATCCCCTATAATTTACCTTAAAGGGGTTAGGATAATGATATTCCAACTTTCTGGCTTCTACTATAAACCCAAGAGCCTTCGGGCCCGCGAGTTCGGGTGTGAGGGGGCCCAGATGGGAGTTTCCGAAAATCGGAGGTACCTTATTTTGGGGTCCTTATAGTAGGGATCCTACCACTTAGGGGTACCAGATTAGGGCCCCCTATTTTCGGAAACTCCCAGATGTCTAAGGACGAGAAAAGCGATATTAGTCCCGTGCCGGCGACCGCACGGGGGGCGGCTGTCTAGGAGCCTCACTGCTGCTAGCGGCCTGCTATCGAACAGGGTAATCTCTACTGCCCTTCTTGTGCTGTACTCAACAGATTTTTGGAGATCCCTACGAAAGCAACCATTACCCACCCACAACAAAAAAGACAAACCGAAATACAAACGCACACACACGCACGCACACATGCTCGAAAGCCTTAACATGAGGCAACGAATCCTGTTGTCAAAATTATGGCCCGGGAACCCTAAATAATACGTGCCGTATTTTCATGGGGGACCCCAAAAGGAGCCATAAGTTTAACAACCACCCATCTAATCGTCCGAATGCTAACCTACAAAACTACTATAATTCAAAAGGATATAGGCCCCAAACCACATTCCCCTAAACCCCAAACTACACCCCTAAACCCCTAAACTAAAACGCTGAAACCCTAAGGCCCTATATGTACTACTGTTGATGGTACAAACCCTGCATTACCCATGATGAGGCATACACCATAATTCCCATAGTCTAGGGGCATTAAGGTAAGGCAGGATGTAGATCATCAACCGTAATGATTCTCCCGAAGCCCGAATCCCCCCTTAACGGAACCCTTCACCTGAGACCCCTAGTGTCTTGGTTATACAACCCGACTTTTTTGTTGGTGCCTAATGTAAACCCAATGTTAAAGCCTTGATATGGAATTTATAAGGGAACCCCTTTAAAAGGTAGGTTCGGTAGCTTAACTTTAGGTTAACCGTATGCCCAAAAGACCCAAGCACCCTTGTCCTTTTAGCAACAATAGACAGAGCCCTATACCTATATCCCTTAGTAGGAATTATTTAAGAAGGTCTACTAGCCGGTCTGTTTATTCTTTTGGGGGAACCATGAAAAAGGACAAGGCCGGGGCGACCCAAGTCGAGCCTTCAAAGCCGTCCATCTCCGTGAGGATCTGATTCAGCGTCTGCTCCTCAGCTATGGGGGGTTGGGGGTGTAGGGGTTTGGGGTTTAGGGGTTTAGGGGTTTGGGGGTTTAGGGGTTTGGGGTTTAGGGGTTTAGGGGTTTAGGGGTTTGGGGGTTTAGGGGTTTGGGGGTTCAGGATTTCAAGGGTTGCAGGGTTTGGGGTATAGAGTTTGGGGGTTGGAATTTAGGGTTTCGGGTGCCCTACTCGGAAGCATGTGTTGAATACAAGCCCTAAGCCCTAAATACGAAACGAAGTGTTTCCTAGGGCTTTCTAGGGGCTTTGGTGCGGCTCCCAAGAGGTCCTGAGTACTTTCATGGGAGAAGGCAGAGCCTGTAGGGCTTCTATAGTATCAATTTCCTTGTTCGAAGAATAGCGTTATCATGTACCCCAAATCCTTCTCGACTTACAAAGGCCCCTGTATTTGCTCCGGACCCTATAAACCCATGCAGCCCTAAACCTTGAACCCTAAACCTAAACCCTTAAACTCACTAAACCCCCACATGTATTACTACGGACCCTTCTGTAAGAGAGCCCGGGGGCTCGCTCGTCATTGCCGCCGCCCATGCCGGCACCACGCTGTCTTCCAATGGCATCCTTATGACGGCAGTTCAGGTCTTCGGTTCAATTTAGGCGTATGAACAAAATGAAAGATTTAGGGTTTAGGGCCTTCGGTTTGGGATTTTAGTTTAGGGTGAGGTAAGGGTGTGTTAAGATAGTTAAGGGTCGTATCAAGCGCTCTGCAAGGGAAGGGCCACTTGGGTTTGGAAGCATACTGAATATAGTTTAACCGTATACATTGAACCGTGGATTCAGGGTTAAAGCAGGGATCTTTGTCTTCAGGACTAGGGTTGTGAAATGCAGATTGTGCGTGATATTTTTCAGTAGTGAAGCTCCAAGGAATCATGTCGGTAATGTTTCGAGCCCCATACTTAGGGCTTCTAACTTCCGAGGGAAAGGACACAACACCGCCCGCCAGCGTGAAAACTCAACCCAAAAGCCCTAAACCCTAAACTCTCTCGACCACGCTAATGCCCATAGGGTCCTAAGTCCCACAAAGCCCTAAGTACCTGTAAAATAGAACGTGGGGTATAATATGAACATTCTGATATTGGAGAGTATTCCTCACAGTATCTAGGGCCCCAAAGGGAACCCTACGGTTGATGATATAAATCCTGCATTACCCATAAGAAGGAATATACCATAATTCCCAGATTTAGGGTCCTTAAGGTAATGCAGGATATATATCATCAACCGTATGACTAAACCCTATAATATCCTTTAAAGGGAACCCTTCTCGTGGGACCCTTGAGCTGCGTGCATGTCCCGGTGGCAATCTCATCGATGAAGACGATGCAGGGCGCCTTCCTCGGTCTCTTCCATTGGGTTTAGGGTTTAAGGATGTAAAAGTTTAGGGTTTAGGGCTATTAGGGTTTTGGGTTTGGGGCTATTAGGGTTGCGGGTTTAGGGCTGAAAGGGTTTAGGGTTTAGGGCGATTAGGGTTTGGGGTTTAGTTGGCTAAACAAAAAGTTTGATGCTTCTAGTAGAGTTGAGGATTTGGTGCTTCAAGGCTCTTTCCCTGCCGAGCCCTTGACCCCACGCACGTTTGAAAGCAAGCAATATGATTTTCGGGGATCTCCACATGTCATTATCCCCGAAACAAAACCATAAACCAACAAAGCAAAAACTACTGTACAACAAACACATTAAGCAAGACTTAAACTGAGGGAAATTGGGGTTCGACTGTTGCAGATCAGTGTGTTGGTTTGCGGATAGGACTAGGATGTTCCTGCAGACCACGCACAAATCTGGGCTTTACATTTACTCCTTCCCTGCAAAGCTCTAAGAACCCAGAAAGCCTTGAACACCCATTTCCCTAACCCCCCTACACCCTGACCCCCAACCCAAAACCCTACAAGCCCTAGCCCTAAACCCAGAATTCGAAAACCTTTACACCACTAAACACTTAAGCCCTAAACCCCTACACAAAATCCTAAATCCCTAAACCCCTGTAAACCCCTAAACCCCTAAATCACTAAACCGCTAAACCCTGAAACCGCTAAACCCCTAAACCCTAACCCCGAAACCCCGAAAACCCCTAAACTCCTAAATCCCTAAACCCTTAAACCCTAAAATAACCCTAAAACCAACAAAACCCTAGGGTTTGAAGTAGCAAAGCGTCTAAACCCCTAAACCCTACAAAGCCAAACCTTAATAACTCAAAACCCTCAAACCCTAAAAAGCCATAATCAAAAAACCCTAAACAAGGTTTAGAGTAGCAAAGCGGCTCCTTAGCCTGCTTAAAGATGTCGCGCACTCGCGAGGCGCCCACACCGACGAAGAGTTCGATGAACTCTGAAGCAGAAGACCTTGGATCAGGGTTTCAGGGTTTAGTTTTTTTTGGCAAGGGCTCCTTTTCGAACTGCAGAGTGCTTATCGAAAGCCCGTTTAGGGTTTAGGGTTTAGGTTTTAGGGTTTAAGAGAGGATTAGGTCTCGGGGTTTAAAGGCTTAAAAGTTTGAGGGATTAAAGGTTTAGGGTTTAGGGTTCATAGGTTTAGAGCTCAGGGTTCAACATGCTTAGGGTTTAGGGCTTAGTTAGGAGGTTCAGGAGGGTTTTGAAGGTTTAGGGTTTTAGAGGCTTGAGGTTTACGGGGTTAGGAGGTTTAGGGTGGGTTTGGGATGTACCAGGACCCCCAGTGCCCTTGAATGGTGCCCTTATCGTCTTCACTACTCGGGGATTGTAAAGTACAGTGTAATAGAAGGTAGTTTGGGGGGTTTAGACTCCCTGCAGAACCAAATCCCAATGCGGCCTTGTGAACGAAGCCCAAAATCCTGAACCTGAACCGCAAAGGCCTAAACTCCTTGCAGAACTGAACCCTCATAATGCCCCATAAACAAACCCTGAGTGCTGTAAAACCCCAAACCCCTCTAAAGGGAACTCCAGAAAGTTGGAATATGGTTTCAGGGTAGGATACCTTATAATTTACCGTAAAGGGTTTAGGACTTAGGATAATCATATATCCTACTTTCTGGCTTTTACTTTAAGGCCCTCCAAAGGAAACTTTACGGGTGACCATATAGGAAGCCTGAAGCAGCTGACCTCAGGGCTTAGGGTTGTGGTGCGGTTATGGTTGTTAGGGCTTTGGGGCAGGAGGGCTTCAGGGATTACGGTTTAGAGTTCCCGAGTTCGGTGTTAAGGTTTTAACCCTAAACCCTAAACCCTCAAGGACGTGATGCCGGCAGGCTGAATGAAAGGCACTCCGGACTCACCCGCCAAAGCCTCTGCAGCAGGGAACTGGCAGAGCTTGCAGGCTGTGAAGGTTTCTCAATCCCCTTAGAAGGTAAGTAAAACATTTTTTGTTTACTGGATGTCGAAAAAGATTAGAGTAGAAGCCCAAAAGATGGAAACCCAGCCTCAATCCACGCAAAAGGAATCCCAGCACTATTTGACCTTAATCCGGTTTTCAACTTCATGGGGTTTGTTGTAAACATAACTCCCCAAAAGCCTTAAAGGTTCGGGGTACCCAGACCTTGGACTTCATTGGCCTCGTTGAATTTTACAAAGCCTACCTGAACTTATGTCGGTCAGGATCCGACAGTAGGCAAATGAGATCGCGAGAAGCAAACATCGGGCCTGAGGGGACCCCCCTGGACCCTAAACCAAAACTGGTTTAGGGTTTAGGGTTGCTACATTAGAAGGGGCCCCCACCCCGCAATAGTGACTATAAGGATTATAATTATATTAGGGCCCTATTATATGCCTCTCCTACCACTATTACTAATAACAGGGTCGGGGCCCGTGCTAACCCATGCCATAAATCCTGAGCTTTATCCCAAGCCTGATACTCTGAATTTTGAACCCAAGCCTTCAATCCCAGCACAATCCCACGGTTTAGGGTTTTGGGTTTAGGGTTTAGGGCCCTCCACTGCACAACCTCGTCAGTCTAACACCCTGAATCTTTTAATCCGGTATTGACCCTAAACCCTAAACCCCTAAACCCCAAAACATTATTCCTCGGCTTGTCCCTCAACCCTGGCCAGGGACCATGGCTCACACAGATTGAAATTCTCAGTGCTTCGGATTTCAGGGCGGCAACTCTGCTTGGAGGAGCATGGGGCGTAGCAACAAGGTAAGTATATGGCTTCAAGTATCCTAGTTGGGGAGTTTCAGGTCTAACAACCTATTGCAACCATATTTCCCGACGTGCTAAGTCCCGTGATCCCTTTACTATGTTAAATGCTTCTTGGGCATGTTGCTGGTAGCTCTGGCTTGATTGATGTTGGCCCAGTGTTCCTTTTGAAGCTGGACGAGGCGGTCCCTTCGGGTACGACGCTGTAGGAACGACTACCTTTCGGAAAAAGGTGTTTAGTTGTTTCTTCGCTTGCCATCGAGGGCCTAGTTTAGGGCTTGTAGGGTCTAAATGTTTAGGGTTTAGGGCCTATAGGGCTTAGGGATGCTTTGGGTCTAAACGGGGCTCGCGGGTCTAAAACAACGGAGTCTGAAGATACTTCAACCCAAAGGATCCAAGTACCTAGGTACGTAGTAGGTACTTGGCCCCAAAAGTACATATTGCAATATTACTTCGGTTGATGATGATATAAACCCTGCATTACCTTAGGAACCCTAAACTATGGAAATTATGGTACATTCCTTACTATGGGTAGTGCAGGATTTTTATCATCAACCGTGGGACCCTTAGAGCAATTCGTGGGAGGCCTTGGCCATCAGCGTCTTACCGGTGCCCGGTGGGCCCGTCAGCAGCACGCCGCGAGGGATCTTAGCGCCAACCTTTGGGGTGCAACACTTCAGGGTTTAGGGTTTAGGGGTTTAGGGGTTTAGAGCTTCTAGGGTAGAAGGTCTTTTGGGGTGTTGGGATTAGGGCTTCTGGTTCGGGATGTTTTTCAGTTGAGGGGTTTAGGCTTCAACAAACCACCACACCTTGAACACCCTTAAATGCCGAACCGCCTCAACCCACACCGCAACCCCCCCCATTGATAGTTAGACTAGGGCAGTGTGGTACTTCTATCGTATAGGTGGAATGAGGAACCCTGAAGAATCGTACTGGTAATTACAGAAGCCCTGGAAGTGCCTTGACGAACCTCTCTGGCGCTTTCAGGAAATCCACGATCTCCATGAGCTCCTCCTTGGCCTTGTTGTTGGACGCTTCAAACACTACGACTACGACCACTGCAACGACCACTGCCACCACCACCACGACAACAACAACACCGACGCCAACCCCAACCTCAATGCCAACACCTACACCAACACCACCACCAACAACAACAGCAGCAACGGCAATAGCAACATCAACGGCAACAGCAACAGTAAGAGCAACAGCAGCAAGAACAGTAGCAACAACAAATGAGGCAAACGCCACAACAACAACAACAACAACAACTACTACTACTACTACTACTACTACTACTACTACTACTGCTACTACTGCTACTACTACTACTACTATTACTAGTAGTAGTAGTAGTAGTAGTAGTAGTAGTAGTAGTACTACTACTACTACTACTACTACTACGACTATTACTACTACTACTACTACTACTACTACTACTACTACTACTACTACTACTACTACTACTACTACTGCTACTGCTACTGCTACTGCTACTGCTACTGCTACTGCTACTGCTACTGCTACTGCTACTGCTACTGCTACTGCTACTGCTACTGCTACTGCTACTGCTACTGCTACTGCTACTGCTACTGCTACTGCTACTGCTACGACGACGACTACTGCTGCTACGACGACTACGGCACGATGAGGTGCGGTGTAAACGGTCGAAGCCGTCCGGAGTTTCACTTGCACTGAGTTCCGAGAATAGGATAGCATTGGGTTTATAGGATTTAGGAGTTTAGGGGTTTAGGGTTTAGGGTTTGGGAGTTTAAGGGTCTAGGGTGTAGGGACCTGACTTGTGGGGTTCTTGCTGTAAGATTCTTGCCATACACACACATATGCACAGACACATACCTACATAGATACGCAGACACAGCTTGAACGAATTTTTGCTTTTGCATATGATCTTCGTTCTAGAAAGCTTGCAACCTACAGTAACCAGAGCCTTGAGAAGTACATAATGGGTTTTGGCTTAGGGTTTGGGGTTTAGAGATTAGGGCTTAGTTCCGGGATGTGATATGAATACGTACATAACTATTTTTTCGAGAAGTACGTAGGAGCCCTGAGGCAAAGGATGGGTAGTTGGGAGTTTCCGAGAATAGGGGACCCCAGTATAGTATCCTACACAGTAGGATCCTCACTATAAGAACCCCCCAAATCGGGTGCCCCTAATTTTCGGAAAGTCCCAGTTGGTCAGGCTTCTGTAGAACCCGGTGCCTCGTCGATTCCGGCGACATCTTCAAACTTCACGCCGGTCTCTGGAGTGATCCTTAGGCCACAAGGAAATCGATACCGGGCTTAAGATTCAGAGTTTAGGAGTTTAGAATATGGCTTTAGACGGTTTAAGTTTTTAAGATTCGAGATTTAGGGTTTAAGCTTTAACTTAGGCTTTAGGGATCTTAAAGCTCAGGCTGTATGGGCTAGGGTTTAGGGCAGTGCTTACTGTAGCAGTGAAGACCATCCTTCGCATCTCCGCGACAATGACAGAAACAAAAACGGCAGTCCTTATGAAAGGGCCCCAAAGGTGGGATGCAGGTGTTCCTAAATGAGAGGTCCATGTACAAGGGGATCCTGAATCCTACCTAACTTCATCCCACCCTAAACCCGAAACCCTTGTGCGGCCTCCGACTCGAGACCGTTCAGATCCCTCGTGGCGTAAAACCCATAACCTCCAAGACCTTCAACAATCCCTTTTAAGGGTTATCTACTTTTAATCATCATAGAGTAGGAGCCCTAATGTCCTTCAAGACCTTCAAAAATCCCTTTTAAGGAATTTACTTTGAATTACGTATGATATAGTAGGATCCATAATGTCCTGTAAAGTATATCCCCTGGCTAAGTGGTATTGGAAGGTCTGGGGATTCTCAGCCGTCGACCCGCAACAATCTCAACTGTGACTCATACGCGCTATTTCTGACCCAAAATCGTAGGCATGAGTGCTTTTTGGGTTCGGGCTTCTTCCTGGCTTCTAGTGCTGCTGGTAGATGAATTTCTTGGCGGCTGAAGAGCCTCCCTGGACTCCAGGCAACAGACCCAAACCTTCCAATATCCCCCTGATTCAGGAATAGACCTTCGTCCCTCAATTCAGCAGTATTGGTAGAAGGGATCCTGATTATGAGCGATTCATTCGTATCAAGGATCCCATGTAATCTAACTTAAAGTATACATAGACCCATAGACCTTCAATTTCATTATTGCGGATCCTACTGTAACTTAAACAAAGTCTATACTCCTCAATTAAGGGATCCTTTGTAGTATATTAAGGATCCTGCTATGGTTATATAGTCTACTCCTGAACTAAGGGATCATTATAGTAAGGGTTCTGCTAATTATAACTTAGAGTCTCTACTCCTCAATTGAGGGGTCCTTTCCTCAACTAAGGAATCCTTTGTAGTATACTAAGGATCCTGCTATAGCATATAGTCTACTTTAGAAGGGGCCCCCACCCTGTAATAGTGGTATAATAGGAATATAATAGGGCCCTAATAGAATCCTTATAGTCACTATGACAGGTGGGGGCCCCTTCTAAAGTCTACTCCTCAATTAAGGGATCCTTTGAGCCCAGGCGCATGATCTTCGCCTGGCCCTGATTGCCGAAGCCGGGAATGCCACCACCGCCGGGGGCCCGGGAGCGAAGAAAGAGGAGTCCTCAGACTTCGGTCACACGGTTGATGATAAAAGCCTGCATTACCTTAAGGACCCTAAACCATGGGAATTATGGTATATTCCGCATTATGGGTAATGCAGATTTATACCAACAGTAGGACCCTTAGCGGGGGTACTTGGAGGTTCATGGGCAGCTATATGTGGAGTTATAAGTAGTGTAACTGTACTTGTAATTCATATTAGCGGACTTCTAACCCTACTTATAACTACCCATGAACCTTCAAGTAGGGGGGAGGGGGGTGGTGTTTAGGGTTTGGGGGTCACGGCACACGGTGGGTATACGGGGGAAGAGGGGGCATTCAAGGGGGGGTGTTATTACGGCAAAAGAGTTAAGAATTGTCGTTCGATTTTAGAAATAGAGCGTATAAGTACTTTTCAGAGAAGATAAGTCAACACACACAGAGTATTTGGAGGCTTACACAAAAAAACATACGCTCTCCCCACATCCGATCATCCCCTCCGAAAAGAAAACACTAGACTAAATGCACAATCCACGAGCCTTAACGTCAGGCTATGTCGCGTCTCAGCCATACGTACTTGGCGGCAGGGAACTGTACCAAAGGTCGTGCTTTCAGCAATCATGATGGTGGCCAACTTAACTACACCAATCGCAACACCCTTCACAACAAGCAGTCAGTACCGTGCCGGTGGTCAACAGCTGAACAACGATACCATAGCAGAAACGAGAAATCGAAACTCACACGGCCCAGGCACCGGCAATCAGAAGCAAAGGGAAGGCGACATCGCCCAAGACGTTGAAGATGGGGTTTGGCTTCTCCTCATGCAGGGTTTGAGGTGTACCGGGACGCTATACGGGTGGTTGTCAAAATTATGGTCCCTTTTGGGGTCCCTACTATAATGCGACACCTATTACTTAGAGTACTACCCATATCACGGCTGAGGAAAGTCTGGAGCTCTAAACCCGTGCACCCAAAACCCTCGAACTACATTCCACCTACAGCTTCACGCCCTACCCCTTTCCAGGGAACCTAACATGTCTCTATAGCAAAACTAACCACGAAACAAGGCGTGAACCTCCTGGTATACCTTAGCATCAAAATCGCAGTAAGGAACGCTACAAAGGTGGATTTTGCAAGGTTCAAGAAAAAGGTGGGCTTGTATGGGCTTCAGGTAGGGTAGGAGTTCGGATTTGGGGTTCGGGGTCTCCGTACTTGGGTTCAGCATATGTGAGTATTGCCGTAAGTATATGAGTAAAGCACTTCCACAGATGTACACCACGCAGGAAAATTAGCCAACATTTCCTCTTGCCGTCCTTAGACATTCCGATGTAGCATACAAATGCACCCACAAAACCTCTTCACGTAAAGTGCCGCCATGTCCTAGAAGCCTGAAGTGTAAACCCTATAAGAACCCTTATATACCTAAATGCTGAAACCTAGACAACTGAGGGGCCTCAACAATTCGAAAACGTCTTCATGGGGCCCACTATAATATAACTATAAGACGGAACCCCACAAAATAATTTTGGTAATTGCTTAGGCCCCTATATTACCACAAGAACCCCTTCTTTGCCGACAGGATGCTGGCTGGTGCACCTCAATAGAGATACCTTTAGCAGTGAGCTTCTCGATGAGGCCTGTGCGGAGTATAGGGCTGAGGGTTCACGCTTTAGGTGTAGGGCTTGCCCCTGAGAAAACCTGCTTTTTCGGGGTTCATCGGGATGACTTCCTGAAACCCTGTAACCCCTACACGCTACAACCGTGAACCCTACCTTGCCTGTGGTAGCACCCGGGAGGTCACAGACCAGCTGCCTCAGCACCCGAAGCTCTGGCGAGAGCTTTCGGGTCTAAGGTTCAGGTTTAGGGTTTAGGGCTTCGGGTTTAGGGTTTAGGGCTTCGGGTCTAGGGTTTAGGGTTTAGGGCTTCGGGTTTAGGGCTTCGGGTTTAGGGTTTAGGGCTTCGGGTTTAGGGTTTAGGGCTTCGGGTCTAGGGTTTAGGGTTTAGGGCTTCGGGTTTAGGGCTTCGGGTTTAGGGTTTAGGGCTTCGGGTTTAGGGTTTAGGGCTTCGGGTCTAGGGTTTAGGGTTTAGGGCTTCGGGTTTAGGGCTTCGGGTTTAGGGTTTAGGGCTTCGGGTTTAGGGTTTAGGCTTCGGGTCTAGGGTTTAGGGTTTAGGGCTTCGGGTTTAGGGTTTAGGGTTCAGGGCTTCGGGTTTAGGGTAGGTTCCCAAGCAATACACTCTTTGCGTTGTTAGTCTTTGCGGCTCGGCTGTTTGAGTTTGAGCTCGATGTTTTCTGAAGCCGGGGGGAGGGTTGACGACTTTTACGGCTGCAGAGGTTTTGGAGTTGCAGGGTCGTAGGGTCTTGGTGCTTGTGGGATTGTAAGCTTCAGGGTTGCTGGGTGTTACAATTCCGGCTCTTAAGGCTGTATGATCACGACAGTGTAACAACTCTACGCCGCGATAAACCCGAACTTGCGCATGCTGTTTTCATACATCTTACCATTTTCAACCGACCGCAGTGTTGCATAATTCGCCAGATGCAAAGCCAAACAGAAGACATTAAGTATGAATAATCTGCAAAGTATCTATTTTCCTTCTTACAATAAGTTTGAATGACGTTCCTTAAACCGCACCGCAGTCTTAACCCATAGGAGTCTCCAGTGGGAGAGGCATGCTCGCCTCCCTGCGTGGCTTCTGCCACCTCCCCTGCAGCCTGCTGTGCCTCCACTCGACGACCATGCTGATCTCTCGGTGGGGCCTTGGGTGGCGGAGGCGGTTGCCTGCGGGGAGTGGCAGCAGCCGACTCACCCGGGCTGCTAAGCGGAGGGAGACCGGTGCCCTCACTCTGGTGGCCACTTTGGCTGGTGGCCGTCATCCTTTGGCGGAGTTGGGCTCGAAGAGTGCTGTCGTTACGAAGGTTGTTCCTGGGGCGGTCAGCCGGATCCCTGATTTAGGGACCAGTGCTCTGGAGCTCCCTCACCTCCCTGGGGCTCGTTCCCTGCCGCCTCAGCGAGAAGGCGGCGCTCTTCTTCATCCAAAGCGGCCATCTGCTCGTCGAAACTGAGCTCCACCTATATTTGGTAGAATGTCGGGCGTCTGTAGTAGCACTTATCGGAACCCGATTATTATAGAACCCCAGGGACCTATTATAGGACCTTGTAGTACCCCCATAACAATACCTAGGACCCTAGATGGAATCCCAAAATAAAGCCATATAGTACTACAGTACCCTTTACAGGGAAGGAACCGGACTAAGAAACCCTGGACCTGTAACCCCAAAACAGTAGGGTTCATATTAAAGCACCCTTCTAAAGACCCAGGGTTTATTAATCAGGTTCCTAAAAAATACTCCCAATAACAGTACCCAGGATCCGTCGGGGCCTGTAATACCCGACAAGCCCTAAACCCCCAAACCGACTACACCCTGAACCCTTAAGCCCCCTAAACCCTGAACCACCTAGGCCCCCTAAACCCTGAATCCCTAAACCCGAACCCCTGAACCCTAACAACCCCCCCTACCCAGAATCTCGGGAGGATCTAGAAAGTAGATCCCCAGATTTGGGGCCCTATACTACGAAGGGTACTTTATAGGAACCCCCATGAAGGGATCTACCTTTTGGATCCTCTAAAGGGGGTCTGGGTAGGACGGGTTGAAGATTCTCGGGGTAAGGATTCCTTCATATGAACCCTATTATGGGAACCCTAATCCCAACTAAACCCCCATAGGCCCCAGACCCCCTTTGGAAGATCCAAAGTAGATCCCTTCATGGGGGTTCCTATAAAGTACCCTTCGTAGTATAGGGCCCCAAATCTGGGGATCTACTTTCTAGATCCTCCCGGGGGTCTGGGCTAGGATCTGTTGTCTTAATACTTATAACCTTACTTACTAAGTCCCATGATCCCCATTGTAGAACCCCGATAGATCCCTTTAAGGAACCCTATTCTAGAACCCTATAGTACCCTTATTAAGTTAAAAGGAACCCTAAACCTTACTCACGAAGTCCCATGATCCTCCAAGTAAACCCCTAAACCTTTAAACCCCCAAAACACTAAACCCCTAAACCCTTAAACCCCCAAAGCCCTAAAGCCCTAAACCCTAAACCGTTAAACCCTAAACCCCTAAACCCCTAAGCCCTAAACCCCTTAACCCTTAAACCCTAAACCCCAAGTACCTACAACCTTTTGGGGCAGACGGGCCGGGTGACTGCTCTCGGCCGGCCACCGTCACCGTGGCCACGGCCGTGCGGCCGAGGTCGTAGAAGTCCACGCGCTTCACGGAGCCCTGGGGCATCTCATGGCACTTAGTAACTAGGGTCCCTTTAAAGGGGTCTATATATGGGCTCCTTAAAGGGTTCCTAAAAAGGGATCTATAAGGGATCTATAAGAGGGACTTTAGGGATACTTAAAGGCTCATGGGACTTAGTAACTTGGGAGCTTAAGGGGTAGTAATTAGGGCTCCTTAAAGGGATCCATAAGGGCTCTATAAGAAGGGTTTTAGATTCCCTTTAGAGGGATCTATAGGGATTCTACAAGGTTTTTTATGGGTTTAGGGTCTACTTAAAGGATCATGGGACTTAGTAACTAGGGTTCTTAAGGGGCTCTTTAAAGGGGATCTATAGGGTTCCTTAATGGGATCTATGGGGTTTAGGGTTTAGGGTCTACTTAAAGGATCATGGGACTTAGTAACTAGGGTTCCTTAAAGGGTTCCTTAACAGGGATCTACAGGGGTTCCTTAAAGGGATCTATAGGGTTTAGGGCTTCACGGAACCCTGGCTTCTTGGAGGTTCATGGGTAGTTATAAGGGTTCCTTTTGGGGTCCCTTTAAAAGGGACCTACAGGGATTCTATAAGGGTTCAGGGTTTCGGGCTCTACTTGGAGGTTCATGGGTAATTAATTATAAGTGGCGTTATACCTAGGGTAACTATACTTACAACTCATCATATGGGGAGTTGTAGGATATTTATAGGGTCGAGGTTTAGGGTGGAGGGGGTTAGGGGTTTAGGGTTCGGGTTTAAGGGCTTAAAGTTTAGGGATGGTTTAGGGTTCAGGCTAGGCTTGGATTTCTTTCTGTGGGAGGAAGTTTAGTTTGGGTTTAGGCTGCTTTGGGGGGGGGGGGCGTTTTGCGGGGTAAGGGTTTCATAAGGGTTACTATGCAGGGGTGTTGCTATGAATTCTAAAGCCCAGAGCAGCCAATCCTATTCATGAGCTGAAGAGTGATTCCTTGAGCTGGAGTTCAGGGTGGAGAGCTTCAGATCCTTATACCGTAGGGGCCCAAGTACCTCATAATCATATACTCTCCGAAAGATTGAGCTGCGTAACTACTATCTCAAACCCAAGTACCTAATTCTGGGGTCCTTCGGACCCTTATGGATAGATCATTAGGGTGAATTTCTTGCATCAAGCACAGGAATTACTCTATGATGGGACTTGCTGCCGAAACGCAGGAAGACTACCTCACACTTGAAATTTCCTAAACATCCCTAAACCCCATACGCCCAAAACCCTAAAGGCCGGCCCTAAACCGTAAAGGAACCTCAGACCCTACACCCCAACAACAACCCGACATCCTAACTCCCGAAGTTCGGGGTCATCACCTAATCCCGAAAACCCTAACCCCTTACGGTTTAGGGTTTAGGGTTTAGGGTTTAGGGGTTTAGGGTTTAGGGTTTAGGGTTTAGGGTCCCCAAAGCCTGAAACCCTAAACCCCCGAAGCCCTAAACTTAGAGCTTAGGGGGTCACACGTTGATATTTGGCCGCGTGGTTTTGCGGCATCTCTAGTTGGACTTGGTTTCGAAAGTACTGGTATTTGCAGGACTTTTGTAGCTTGGAGTCAAGACTGGGGTTTATGTCTGGAGGCTACATTCAGGTACCTAAAAGTTAGGGCACGCCTTTCAGCACACTCGGCTCAAGTGCGTGGCGAAGTCGGCTTTGTTACTCAGTTGGCAACGCCAGACAAAGCTGTACACATACTCCAGTAAGCGCACACTCACCGTGCCATCTTGCTTACTCTTGACAGTGCATGGTACATATCTGTCCAAAGACTGCCACCAACGGTCAACACACTGCGTGCCTGCCAAGATTGTACGTCCATCCTTGAGATGGATCTTCTTGGTGAACTCGTGCTTGTTATGCTTGACATTGTAGCTCTGGACGTTCTTCGTCAGCAAACTTTTGACGAGGTTCGGCCAACACCGGGCCCCATCTGAGTGTACGGCTGTACGAACACACGTGACATCGATGTGCTTGAAAAGACCTGTCGGGCCAACCTCGGCTGCACTTTCTGGGGGCGGACCGCTTCACCCGGGTGGCATGAGCTTGACTGGCAGAAGCTTTGCAACTACGCAACCATCCCGCTGCTTGAATCCGGCCAAACGGATATGACCGATCCAGTACTTGGGCATGCTGGCAGCTCCATGCTTCGATGCCCAGCGCTTGCGTGCGTCATCTAACTGCGGCAACCAGTTTTCTTCATTCTTGGCATTGCTCACATAGATCTTTCGAACAGCATGTCCGTCACCCTCCACATTGCCACTGAGCTTTTGCGGTGTCTCGCAGAAGGCCAAACCAGCCTGGGCTGCTTGTGATGATGATGTTTGATGCTGAAAAACATGTTGACCTCACCATAAGCATCATCATCATCAGCAGCATCATCATCATCACCATAATCTTGATCATCATCTTGCTCACCATAATCATGTTAATCGCCACCATCACCATCATCATCAAGATCTTCAGAAACAACAACACCAAAGTAATGTCGCCTGCAACATGTGATCTATCTATGTATCTGTTTAACTAACTAGATATCTAGCTATGGAAATGTCTATGTAAGGAATATACTATGACGTAACCTTGTTTCAAACCCGGACCTTGTACTCTTGGTGCCGCAATGCATTGAAGACATGCTCCACAGCACATCTGCCGAGCTTGAGCTGCGACTGGCAGTCAGACACAAGAGGAGCCTTGTAAATGTTGCAACGAGAGTAATACTGTATCACCCGGGCCAGATCTGGAAGCGGCAGGCGTGTGCCACGAAACACAATGAAGTCCGTCACGTTACAGCGTCTCCCGCACTTCCAGAACTTGCAGCGCACGTACCTAAACTGAGCTTAGTAGGGAAGTACTCTGGCCTAATTATAGCTGTTTCTCTAGGATTGTAGGAACCAACGCCTAAAAATAACTTCGAAGTACTACCAAAGTGCAACTTACCCTTGCAGGCTCTGCGCACGTCAGGCGTGTAGAACTTGCTGCCCGCACACGCAGGGCATCGCCGAGGAGGCTTGATGAAACCGTTCTTGCAAAGCTCTGTGTAAGCAGCACGCGAAGAGATGCCGAGAGCGTCTAGGGCCGAAGGTTTGCTCAACAAGTGGCCTTTTTCAGACCTGCGCCAGCTGGAAGCAGGCGCAGAACCATACGCCTTCTTTGCATTGCTCTTGTGTTCTGTATCGCCACCACCACCCTTCTTCAAGCCGACCGTGCACTTGGTCCGACCACGAGGAACCCCCTTCTTCATAGTCACTATTTGTTGTTGCATCTGAAGCATCTTCTTGGCCCCAGGGAGTGGACACTTCTCTAGTCTATGTCCTGTCGCACCGCAGCACCCGCAGCAGTGTTTTTTGTGAAACTGCACCGGCTTCTTTCTGGGTTTGGTCACCATGGCTCCCGGAGAGACTACAGCTAGTCTTTCGTGCACAGCGAACCTACAGAGGGTGCTAAGGGCAGTTCAAGTTCAAGTGTGGGTTTAAAGTGCAGGCGTTAGCAGGTTACCTAAGGCCGGTTTTGGAAGCCAAAAGGGCTTGTGATTGTAAGCATGTTGCCGCTGCATCCTCTGTCGAAGTCTGTCGTTCATGATGCCTTCACAGGGCGTCCTTTTCCTTTGCGAAGACGGTTCGAGTTGCACACGACACGCAAAAGCGTAAAGCCTAAACCGTAAACCCTAAAACCTAAAGCATAAACCGCAAAAACCCTAAACCGGAAGCCGTAAACCCTAAACAATAAGCCGTAAAGAGTGAAAGCGCTGGTGGCCCGGATACCTCAGTCATCATAAGCGGATCTGTCCAGACGTAGTTGGCCGTCTACCGCCCGTCGAACGATCCCCAGGCTCTCAAGAGCTGGGACAGCCTCCTCGAAGACATCCACGACATTTGGCCGAAGATGCTGCTGCACAGTCTCCGCTGACAACCACGGCGTTTGGCCATCAGAGAGCATGAAGAAGACTTCCAAAATCTCTGCACAAGGATCTTCCCCGACAGCATCACGTGACCGCTCCGACACAGAGCCATTTGCTGGCACGGCAGCAAGAGTCGTCTGGCGCAAGGATGTGGCTGGCAACACACGATGCCGCTGCACATCTTCCATGCGAAACGAAGTACCAAAGTGGGAGATGTTTCGCCTGGCTGTGCCCACAATACGAACAGACCGGCGCCAGACTTCGGCTTTGGCTGGTTGGCCCAGTGCTTCTAGCTCGCAGGCTTCCTGCTCGGCCAGCACACAAGCGCCCTCCCAAGCCCGTCGCTCCAGTCCAGCTGCCGAGGTTGCAGTCGTAGTCAAGCCGGCAGCGTCTATCACGGCCCGATAGAACCTGATCGCATGGACCTGGGAGGGAAAGGTGATCGGGAGAACAATGCACGGCATGGCTCGCTGTCGAAGTGGAAGCATGCTGAATACCAGAGGCAAGTCCTGAGCTCCGCTGTTTCTTGCCCACCTCCTGGTTTTCAGCTGAAGCATGGCAAGGGCTTTCACCCACCTCCTGGTTTTCAGCTGAAGCATGCCAAGGGCTTTCAGCAGCGGGTCGCCCAGAGGGCCCAGGGCTGGAGTGAACAGAACACGGAGACCATGGCTGCAGCTCTAGCCGCTGCGAGCTGACACTTTCGGGGCTAGCGGCACGCTGCCGCTTCCGAGGCGGCGTTTCATTTGGGCCAGACATGCTGGCTGCGGGGACTGAAATCAAACCGGACGCTATCAGCCCCCCCCCCCCCACCCCCTCCCCCCCACCCCCCTCCCCCACTCCCCCCTGTGTGTCCTGACAGGCGCAATTATGAGACAACTGCACAAAATGTGAGGAAAAGTGAGGAAAAGCACATGGCCAGATACGCGCGTGTGTGGGCTTAGGGCTCCCTAAACTCCCAAAGCCCAAAAGCTCTAAACCCTAGAATCCCTAAGCCCTAAAGCCTATACGCCCGAAGAGCCCTAAAACCCTAAACCTCTGAAGCCCTAAACCCTTGAACCCCTGAACCCTAAGCCCTATAAGCCCTAAACCCTACATGCCCCAAACCCTACATGCCCCACTAAACCCTAAGCCCCGAGCCCTAAGCCCTAAAGCCCTAAACCCCTAAAGCCCTTTAAACCCCTGAACCTTGAATCCTTCAAAGGAGCCCCAACCCTAAACCAACATTATATAGATCCCTTACAGTGTATAGGTCCTTGAAAGGAACCCTAAACCCAATGCTTCCGAAGGTAGGGGCCCTTCCTCGTCCACGAACTCAAGGAGTCTGGAGTAGGTCACCCGGCCTCTCAGCTCTTCAAACGCTAGGGCTTTGGGTTTGGGGTTTAGGGCTTAATTAGGATTTAAGGGTTCTAGGTTTAGAATTTAAGTTTAAGGCCTCTAGGTTTAGAGTTTAGGATTTAAGGGTTGAAGGTTTAGAGTTTAGGGTTTAACGTAGCGGTTTGGGTTTTGGGGTTTAAGGTGGCGGTTCAGGGTTTGGGGTTTACGGTTCAGGGTAAGGGAAACAACAAATCACACAAGCGAACATCAGGATAGGGATGTCCAATATACACCCCTATGATGAAGCCCAGTAAGTTTGGTATATCCCTGTAAAATGCTTATACTAATGCCCTTTTTGGGTCCCACAGCTCAGGCTTTGGGTTAAGGGTGTTCAGGGTTTAGGGTAGCGGTATTGGGGTGTTGGGTCAAGGCCTTGCGTTTTAAATTAGGGGTTTAGGGATTTGGGATTTGGGTTTAGGGTTGGGTTTACGGGCTACCCAAAGGTCCCAAAGTAGCTCCTTTTTGGGGTTCATATGTAGAATTCTATATGGTAATCCCGAAAAGGAACTACTATGGGGCCTACTGTTGATGATATAAATCCTGCATTACGTTGAGGACCCTAAACTATGGGAATTGCGGTCGATTCCTTATTATGGGTAATGCCGGATTTATGTCATCAACCGTATGGGACCTATGGCTAAAGTCTGGGGTCAAAGGTTCAGGGCTTGCGCGGCTAAGGCTCCTCGTCGAACCCTCGGAGCGAAACCCGAAATCCCTAACTCCAGAAACTGCACCTAAAGGCTCATGGGACTTAGTAACTAGGGTCCCTTTAAAGGGGTCTATATGGGTTCTATAAGCAGGATTTAGGGTCTACTTAAAGGGTCATGGGGCTTAGTAACTAGGGTTCCTTAAAGGGCTCCTTAAAAGGGATCTATGGGGTTTAGGGTCTTCTTAAAGGATCATGGGAATTAGTAACTAGGGCTATAATTAGGGTAACTATACTTATAACTACTTACAACCCCAATTAAGGAACTTATAACCGTACTTACTAAGTCCCATGATCCTCCAAGCAGGGGGACCTTTACGAAGTCCAAAGGCGCAACTACATCAAAATAGCCATGATCACGAACTATCTCGAAGCCTACATCCTGAAAAAGAACTAAACCCTAGTCCTAGCACGGAAGTACAGGTAGCGCTGGAGGGCTTACCGTGAGCCCTAAATCAAAGGCCTCCCCTGGATCCCGACTCTAGCATACATTCAACCCTAAGGAACCCCTAAACCCAAAAGCCGAACACCAAAGAAATCAATAATCTCGCACCGGAAGGGTCCATGTACCCGAAAAGCGTATACTTTGACCCTCAAAGCTAGCTCCAGGCAACATCTGCCACAGCCGTATTGAACCAAGATCAAGCCCCTGCTTGACGGACCTCTAGGATTTGTCATATGGGTGGTTGTCAAAATTAGGGTCCCTTTTTGGGTGCCCTAAATATTAGGTGCCGTATTATCATGAGGACCCAAAAAGGGGACCATAATTTTGAGAACCACCCATATAGCTGCTATAAGTTTTAAGTACTGCAAGTGTAGTTCTATCCTGCTTAAACCTAATCACTTGTCGAGTATCCTCAAAAAACTAAAGGTTACCCCTTGGGAGTATATTGGGATTGTATAGGGGTTAAAGTAGGAGCCCAAAAAGAAAAAGATCCCAAGGGCACTGCTACTTGGAGGATCATGGGACTTAGTTAGTACGGTTGTAAGTTCCTTAATTGGGGTTATAAGTAGATATAAGTATAGTTACTCTAATTATTACCCTAGCTACTAAGTCCCATGATCCTTTAAGTAACCCTAAAGCCCCCCCTTATAGAGCCCCTATAGATTCCTTTTTAAGGAGCCCTGAAAGGAGCCCTAGTTACTAAGTCCCACGATTCTTTAAGTAGTTTACCAGAGCTTCTGCGCCGAGGAGCCCGAGACGCGCTGAACACCTCCACCTCCGGGCTGCTGCATTTGCATCTGCGGGGCTCCCATGGACCTCTAAGGGCGACAACTTAAAAAAGGTTTCGGATTTAGGGTTTAGGGTTTGTGGCTTAGGGTTTTAAGGGCTTAGGGTTGAGGGTTTGTGGTTTGGGGTTAAGGGCTTAGGGCTTAGGCTTTAGGGACTGCTTAGGTTCCTATATTGAGGGATTCTGTAAGTGTAGCACCAAAACCGAGTTGTTTTGTAGGGCGCTTCAATTTCTATATTATGGTGCGAGGAAACCCTACATGAAAGTAGGATACTATGGTAGCTTGAAGTAGGTTATGGTGTAGCCTTTGGGGGTAGCAAGGGTTTTGGGTGTAGAGTGAAGCGCTAGGGTTTGCTGGGGCGTATTGTGGCTTAGGGTGTGGGGTCCCGGGTGGGTTTAGCGTTTAGGCACTGCGTGGTAGTGCCCTGTAGGGTTTCTTCATTTTGTGAATACAGGCTCCTGAGCATTAATAAACCATGGCAAAGCTTCGGGTGTGGTACTTAAAACCCTTCTTCGCTAAGGCCCCTCTAGTAAAGGATCTCTATCTGTGTATATATAGTCCTTATCAAAGGCAAAGCTGGGTGACTGATCACGGGGTCTACAGTCGGCTACACTTGCAAGTCTGCAAAACCTGATAATCCCAGGTTGCGTTAAACCTTTTGCCGAAAATGACCTTATCAACTCTACTTCAAACACTGCTGCCTAAACCCTAATTTAATCTTACAGAACGACTGACCTACTGGAAAATCATCCGCACCGAAGTCTGGAAAATCATCCGCACCGAAGTGACTGGAGAGCGGGCACGTCGTCCGCCTTCGCAAAAAGAGCTTCCAGTGGCGTTCATATTTATGTAAACTAAAACTTGTCGTTTAGGGATGCAGCTTAGGCTTCATTCGGGCCGCGGGCAGATTGCACAAGACCGTGGGAACGAAGAAGGGCCACATGCGAAGTGATGTTGGTCGAGTGTCTTGCTCATCTTGGCAGCTGACTATTCGAACCCTTTAAATCTCATTGCCACAGTGCGAGTTGCAAAAGCGGCTGCTCACAGAAGCTTGTCGAGCAGCGGTGTGGAATGCTTGTTAAACCGCGTTGAAAAGCATTGCATCCTGAGCTTGCACGGCTTCGGCTTCTGCATTCTAGGACTTTTTAGGGATGTGAGATGGGTGTAGGCACCTGGTCGAGCTTGGGGTTTAGGGATTAGGGTTTAGGGTGTATGGACCCTATGTGGCTTTGAGGGTGCTTTGCTTCTGACCACTAAACCCATGGATAAAAGTTGACGAGGATTACGTCAAGGCGGCCCAGAAACAGGAAGGCTCCCAAACGGCCCTCTGGTCCCCACCCTAAACCCGAAACCGCAAAAGGCCAGTCCCTGTCCCCGGCAGCCGCCTTGGCAGCCAAGGGCGCGGCCGAGGCAGCCAGTACGGCCAAGGCCTTCGATGGGTTTTTTTTTTCATCGAGCTTCGAGGGCTTTGTAGGGGCTATCGGGTTTACCCTAAACCCTAAATCCTAAATACCTAAATCCTAAACCCTAAATCCTAAACCCCTAAACTGCAAACCCTAAACCCTAAACCCTGAACTCTAACCGTTAGGATTGCCTCGAGGGCTTTGTAGGGTCTCTAGAGCTCCCCCTCAGGGATTGGCACTGCCGGGCAACTTACCTTTGGTTGGTGAGGAATGGAAGCATGGTAGTAATAGTAGTTAAATATTTACAAAGGTAAGGTAAGGGTCATCTGAGAGTTTTCGAAAATTGGCAAATTCGGGGTACCTTATTTTGGGGTCATGATAGTAAGGGTTCTGCTACTTAGGGTACTATATTATACTCCCCTATTTTCGGAAACTCCCATGTGGATTCGGCGGGGGCGGGGGGGGGACTGCGCTTGATAAGGCTTCATAGCTAAGGTTGTTTTGTGTTTTATATCTGTGGTAGAAGAGTTGAGAGGAAATACCTCCACATCTAAACCTACGCCAGGCCGTAAACCCTTCCCATTCAGTGCGATCAGAATACCCCAAAGCCCCGAATGCCCTAAACGCCAACAGCCCCAAACCCACTAAGCCTAAAATGTTCAACCAAGAAATCGGCATCTCACTCAAACCTAAACCCCAAATTCACTCCCCCTTACTGAAGCCCTAAACCCCAAAACCCGCAACCTGCAACCGGCTCGCAGCACAGTTTGCTTGACTCTGCCTGCACGGCGGCGTGCTTCACCACGCTCTCAGGCAGAGCTGCACCGGAGGGGGAGACCTTCGGATTCAGCGTGTAGCTCTGATATGGGTTGCTTTGAGACGTTGGCGGGGGGAGCGGAGTTGGGTGTAAATTGCTAGGGGCAGTAGTGTTTCAGGCTTGGGTGCTACAGGATGTCAAACGTGCTACTGCTGCTGCGTCTGCTGCTGCTACTACTACTACTACTACTATTACTTCTACTATTATTATTACTACTACTACTACTACTACTACTACTACTACTACTACTATACTACTGCTACTGCTATTGCTACTGCTACTGCTACTACTACTACCACTACTACTACCACTACTAATACTACTACTACTACCACTACTACTACCACTACTACTACTACTACTACTACTACTACTACTACTACTACTACTACTACTACTACTACTACTACTACTACTACCTCTGCTTCCACCTCCTGTTGGCGCTATCCACGCTGTTGGAGGTAGAAGTGCTGCCGGTCTTCATTGTCGGTTGTTTACCATTGCTCTTATAGTCCTGGCTGTCAGTACGGTTGCAGCTCATATGCCAAGCAACACGTCAATGCCATGCTTGTCACACTTGCCGGTTCTAACATGGAGATGAAGATGGCAATGACGATAAAGAAACACTTCCAATTTGTTTTGGACGCGTATGCAATCACACTTCTATATGTACTAGAAAGATTACGATTATTGTGATGTTGACGACTGCGTAGAGGGTCCGCAGCTTTTGCTCACGGTGCGCGGCCTCGGGGTGTTGGGGTTTGGGGCTTCTGACTGTGTCACATAGCTTTTAGTTGGGGGTTGTAGAAGGGGGTGAACTGAGGTGTATGGGGCTGTGGTTCTCGATTGTACACTTAAAGGATCATGGGACTGAGTACCTAGGGTTATAATTTGGGTAACTATACTTATAGCTACCTATAACCCCAATTAAGGTACGTAGAACCTTACTTACTAAGTCCCATGATCCTCCAAGGAGGGTACGGCAATACAGAAGCCTGAAACTTCACGATTCTCTTGCTTCGGGCTCCTTGTTACACAAAGGGTCCAAGTACCATTCGAGTAGGTTATTCTTAGTAGGTATATGCCCCCAAGAGTATATACTATACTGTTACTATACTATTTCTTGGACCCTTAGCTTTATGCCCTTGTTATACCTAAACCCTAAACCCCATAAACCCGATAAGCCCTTCATTTAGATTTAAGTTCGTTGTTATACCTACACCCTAAGCCCAAAACCCTACATTTAGATTTGGGCTCTTTTTTATTCCTGAACTCGAAGACCCTATAAACCCTAAAGCCTACTTCAAGGATCATGGGACTTAGTAACTCGGGGTATAATTAAGGAATTTATACGCATAACTACTTGTAACCCAATTAAGGTACTTATGACTTATAACCTTACGTACTAAGTCCCATAATCCTCCAAGTATACTGCAATCCCTATCTAGAAAGCAGATCCCCTAATTTAATTTGGGGCCCTATACTAAGGGTACTTAATAAACCCCCATTAAGGGATCTAATTGCTTTTCGGATCCTCCCGACAGTCTGGGAAAGCACTAGATGACCATAGGCCACTTAGTAGTTCCTTTTTGGGATGACCTTATAGAATTCTACATATGAACCCCAAAAAAGAACTACTTTGGGGCCTTTGGGTAAACCCTAAAGCCTAGCGTATCAAAGCACTAGAGGACCGGTGCCTCGGCAGCCATGTCTTTGAGGCGGCGCAGCACTTCCTGCCGGGCTTTCTGGGGTCTCATACAATGATCCTTAACCCACCAGAACCTACTTTTTGTAGGGGCCCTAAAAATCCCATATCAGGGTTTATAATAAGAGCCTACAAAAAAGTAGGGTTTAGTAGGTCTAGGTTTTTGTTATAATAAACCTTAGGGTTTAGGGTTTAGGGTCTTCAACTAGTCCATGGTTGCGATAGAATTTAAACATGTGTGTCTATTTCTTCGTGGGTTTAAGTACCCATGAACATGCAAGGTTTTGCCCAACTACGTACAATTATATAGAAGATGGCAGCAGAGGTGTACAGGGCTGCAGCGTGCTGGGAAATTGGGAGCTTGACGCCTTGAGCTTACACATGGGTGGTTGTCAAAATGATGGTCCCTTTTTGGGGCCCTTACTATAATCCGGCACCTTATATTTAGGGTACCCAAAAAGGGACCATACATAATTTTGACAACCACCCATATGACTTCGGGGCCTGGCTTCGTCGGATGGTTTTGAGCTGACATGCAGGGTTGGGCACATGGGTGTTTGGAACCTCTGGCCCCTCGAATGCTTGCAAAACCCCCTGCAGTGTGAGGGTTTAGATAGGGGTTTAGGGATTCTTTCGGATCTCATTCTTAGGTCTTCCCATAGGCTCCATAGTAGTTCCTTCTGGGATTACCTTATAGGATTCCAAGTATGGATCATAAACAGGAACTACTGTGGAGCCTCTAGGTTGTGGGTTCTTTGAGGGAAAACTCTTTTTGGTCCTCGCTGGTGGACTCGCGGCTCTCCGCCTGTGAGCGTCATCGACATTCTGCTTGTTGTAAAGAATACCAAGGATTCCGCATAAGGTTTAGGTCTTTTACACTAGTATTATGGAATTAGGTCTCAAGGGACTGTCCTTATTATGGTTTTGGGGACTTAATTCAATAAAGGTAGTGTGTGTATATGCACCCTCTGGGTAGAGGAATACCAGTGCTTCCGTATAACGTCGTGCAAGAATCTAGTTGAAGGGAACAAAAGGGTTCTGGTATAAGGTTGTGTAAGGTACTGGAAAGTGCATTATTAATGAGGTCTGATTGGATCGTTGAGGGTTTTCGATGGTTGTTTATGAGGTCGTTGGAAGGCTTCATAAGGCTTGCTAACGCTCAACAGAATGATGGAAGCTTGGTGGAAGTTTGGGCCTATGTGAAGCAAGATTGACATGAGTGTGTATACAGGATTGCTCAAGAATACATCCTTAGTCATCTTTGGGGTGTCTCGCTCGCGCTCCCTCTCTCTCTCTCTCTCTCTCTCTCTCTCTTTTTCTCTCTCTGTGGATCCATGTAAGTCCGCTCGATCATTTCAGGGCTTGTGGGTTTGGGGTTTCCTATACCCCGACCCCACGGATCTAGGAAACTTGACAATGGCGTTGACGGCACTTCCTCACACTGTATTTTTGTGTCACAGGGTCCTCAGTCCGTATATACTAGAAAGGAGGTTTTCTATAGTGCGTAAGAATTGCTTTTATGACTTGGGGAAGTATCCTCCATAACAGAACCTGAGACCCTTTGGAAGTACAAGACCGTTGTTGGTGCTCCAGCCCTAATATAGAGGCCTTCATAATTAGAATAGGGCTTTGGAGCACATTATACTATCATGGTAAAAGGAATCCCAAAAATAGTATGGTAATTATTAAATTATTATCTAGGCTCCTATAGTAGATCTTGCACTGGGTCCAGGTAAAGGTCTTCAGCCAAAGCTGAGAAGCCTCGACCCGGTAGGCAGAACCCCGAACCCTCTAAATCTATTGCCTAGCCAGTAAACCCTACACAACAGACCCTGGACCCTGAACACTAGACCCTAAACCCTAAAGTCTCCCCGGGGACTCGTTTCAGGGTTGCTGTTGGTGTTCTGTTTAGGGTTCTTGGAGGTTCATTGGCAGTTCTAAGTCGGGTTAAAAGTCCACTGGCCCAAAACCCAAGGAAATAAAAGTTGATGCTTTCAGAATCGACTACCTTATAAGAACCCGAAAAGTGTAAAAGTTGAGTTTACAGCCGATAAGTAAGTCCCCTAATATGGCTTGTAGGTATATTTCCCCCACGACCAACCCCGCTTACAAATACCGATGAACCTCCAAGTTCCTTTAAGAGGGGGCCGTCATATTTTAGAATAGGGTTTAGGGTTTAGGGTTTAGGGGCTTTTGGGGTATAATATGCCTAACCATCTAATAAGGAACCCCTCCTTTGAAGGAGCCCGCTGAACCCCCCCCCCCTCCAAGGCGCCAACTAGACACCCATATCATAGTAACCCTGAGAGTGGTTCTATTGAGCCCTTTAAAGGAGCCCCATTGACACTTCCTATTTGAGTCCTTAACTAATCCTTTGAACAACCCTAACGCACTATTACTATAAAATGCTTATGTAAGGAAACCTTATAGTACCCTTTTAAGGAACCCTAAACCCTAAAAACCCAAAGTGAACCGCTGCCCTTTCCCTAAAGCCCCAAAGAGCCCAAAGTAGGTACTCTTTATCGACGTCAAGCGCCAAAGTAAGTACTACTGTTAATAAAGCCTTTGAAGAACCCTAACTCACTATAAAATGCTATGTAAGGAAGTATACTTGGAGTCTTAGGGTTTGGGTCCCTAAACCCAGGCACCTCCGGCGTGGCGAGACCGAGCCGAGCCACGGCGCTGCGCGCGGCCTGCTTTTCTCTCGTCTCGAATAGCGGGGGCCCCTTAAATGGAAGCCTTTAAAGGAACCCTTAGGGAAGGTTGAGGGTTTCGCTTAGTGTTTAGGAGCTTTCTATCAAAAGGAACACTTTAGGGAAGGTTGAGGGTTTAGCTTAGCGTTCGGGTGCTTTCTGTCATAGACAAGTAACCTGCTTTGTGCTTACGGGATTTAGCCTTCGATGGCAAAAGAGTGCCCCTTTGATAAAGATTCAGGTTCAGGGTTTATCGTCCTCAGCAGTGAGTATAGTGGAGGCTACAGGTGGCTCCGAATTCGAAGGGCTTCCGGGGTTTAGCTTCTTACCTAGAAGCTCATGCCCCGTGCCTAAGTCTTTAGGGTCTGTTTTAATATAAAAGCAGGTACCAAAAAAGTTTATGAGCCTCCAGGTAGAGCTTCGAAGACCTCTCTGAGTTTGCTTAGAAGCCGCTGTCGGCTTTACTGGCTTGCACACATAGATACAACATGCTCAGGCTCTTGGGGGCAGTTCCTGAGTCTTATGTTTTTGTGTAGGACCTCTGCCCTTAGTAGGTACATATACTGCAATTATGTCCTAAAGCCAAGAACCTGTTTACTGGGTCGTTTGGACCATTCAGGGTTATAGGGATCCGAGAGAGGTCGGCACAATATGTACTAATATCCCGTGGTCAAGCTGATTGTAAACGTATGATAACATACTCCCAAACCCTGTTTAGTCAAAGTGTTAGGGCATAATAGGGCTCCCTCTTGAACTCCACAAGACGCTGTACAACGCCCATGACACCTCCATAAATGTGCGTAACAGCCATATAAGTACGAACGCCTGAATACCCTATGAGATGTTGTAACCTTACACTATCCTCAAGCCCTAAACTCTTCACCCGCACATCCCCGAAACCACGACGCACTTAAACCCTAAACTCCCATACCCCTGAACCCAGAAGACCCGAAACCCTAAAGCCTAAACCCATCATCCCCCTACCCCCTGAAATCGTAAACCCCTGTAAACCCTAACCTGCAAACTTCTGAACCCTAAACCCCCGGAGCCCCCCATACGCCAAAATAGCTTGCATCGTTCGGAGCCCGAAGAAGGTCGCCTTGCCATCCCTGGGCGCAGCACGAGTCGACCCGCAGAAGCCGCGTCGCGGGCAGTCGGCGCAGGCGAACCTGGTTTTTGGATTTAGAGATGGGAGTTTAGGAGAGTTCGGAGTTTAGGGTTTCGGTTCTGGAGTTTAGGGTTTAGGGTCTAGAGTTCGGAGTTTAGGGTTTAGGTTTTGGAGTTTAGGGTTTAGGTTTTGGAGTTTAGGGTTTAGAGTTCGGAGCTTTTTTTAGGCAGGCCTTGCGCGCTGCAGCTCAGTCTGCGCGGCTTGGGACCAACCCAGCAGGCTTCTGCAATGCCCGCTTAACCAGGATATATCTCCAGTGTGAGTGCTTTGCAATGTGGTTAAGAAAGCCAAGGATGTGGGTTCTGGTTACATGGTCTATCCAACCCCAAAGGGTCTCAAGCACCTGTATAGTAGAATGTAGGGTTTCTATATTACGAATTACTATTATGATCCAGGGAAGTATCCCCCACAGCAGTACCTAGGACCCTTTGGGAACACGGAAAGGGCATCCCACGCCTGAGTCGTGTCAAGGATCTGGAATTTTGGGCTGAAGAGTAGCTCCTGTCTTTAAGGACGAAATGCACCGTAAAAGAGTTTAAGGTCCAATTACCAGATAGGCAGACATGTTCACACCTAGATGATAAAACAGCAAAAGCCCCTCAACGCACATGTATATTTTGGGACAGACCCGGCAAATTATCAGCCAGTTCGCAATATGCTATTACTATAGTAGACTGTAGTAGACTACAGTCCTTCAGCAGCCGACCTATGCTAAGGCTCCATGTATCCATATAGTATATGCTTAGGCCTGAAAGTACCTATATAGGGACCCCCTTAAGGTTCAAGTATCTACTATAAAGGTACATGGAGTCTTTGGGCTATACTCCAGAGCATTTCGTTTGACGTACTTCGGATCTCAGGACCCAAATGCTATGGCCGCTGGACGTGGAGACCAGATACTTTAGGTACCTTATCGTATGAAACCCTAAAGCCCAAACTCTACACCCCCTTAGGCCCGAAACCCAAAACCGTGAACCCTAAAACCCTTAAACCCCGAACCCTGACGCCCCCTAACTTAGCCTAACCATTAAACACGAACACCCCTAAATACTAAATCCAGAACCCGAAAATCTGATGCATAGGATTTTCTACAAGGCTTGCAGGGTTTAGGCGCCATAGTATAGGGGCCTTAATAACTAGAATACGGTTTTGGGGCCCATGATACTATAATCATAATAATAAACCGTCAAAATAGTCTAGACAATCTTTAAGGCCCGTATAGTAGGGCCCCGTGGTCCACTTCAAAAACACAAGCCTTTATACTATAACTATGATAAGGAACCGAAAGTAAAGCCCAGGCAGTTCTGGAGACTTTCAAGTCTCTGGGTCTATTTTGGATCCTCCGGGCTCTAAGTACTGAAGGGTCCCTTTAAAAGGGATCTTTTTAGGGACTAAAGGGATTAAAGGGACCCTTACAGCATTCTTTTAAGTACTAAAGGGTCCCTTTAAAGGGATCCTTACAGGGTTCCTTGAGGGATCCTCTAATAGGGTGCTATATTAAGGCCACAGGGTTCCTAGGTACTGTTATGGGGGATCCGGCCCCACATCATAATAGCTCTTCCCAATAGAGAAACCCGACTACATCTTGCTATCTAGGTACTTCGGATCCTTTGAGTGTAGAGGCCTGGGCAAGCACCAAAGTTATTCCTTATAGGGTTCCTTGATACAGCATCTCATAACTATAGAGTTTAGGGTGTACAACAACAATATACTATACCTCGAAAGCCTATTGAAATTACCGAGGCGGGAGCATCATGGGCTTGTCTGGGTGCACGCACTGAGACTTTCGCGGCAGAGACGCCTGATCCGTTGCTTGGCGCAGTTGTTGTTGAGGACTAAAGCCTAGACAGCTGAGTGAAAGAACCGCAAAACACCGCCACGAACAAAAAATGTAAATCAAACCCTGAAGCAGAAAAAAAAAAACATCCGGCAAATCCAAAAACCCTACTCAACTTTTCTTGATGGTCCAGTTATATCAAAAGTTAAGACTTGGGCTATAATGTCGGGAGTGTAGTACTGTACTTCAACGACCTGCTCATTATTGCTAAACATTGCCTCCACTCGTTCCTAAAACCCTAAACTCCCTGAACCCTAAAGCTAGATCTTCAACCAGTGCCTCCACCCGATACTGCTCCAAACCACATAAGTCTTAGGTCTTTAACCGCCGCTAAACCCAACGAACCTCCTAAACCTTCCACCCCAACAAACCCTAAACTATGTAACACTATGATCTCCCTGGTCCAAGCCTGGCCTTTCATTGCTCCAGTTCGAAGGTAAGCAAAAACACATAAATGGGAGACTCCGAAAATTAGGGTACAATTTTTGCATCATGAAAATAAGGATCCGACTATTTAGGCTAACACATTAGGGTCCCCTATCTTCGCAACCTCCCATATTAGTGATCTTGGAGATGCCAAATCCCTAAGAGGCCACAAAAGCAGACAAGTAGATGCCAGCCAAGAACTTCAAGCTGTGGAGCCTTCTGAACCCCCAAATCCGAAACCCTAAACCCTGGAATCCGTATATGAACCCTTCAAGGAATCCTAGGACCCTATAAGCCCGAGTACCCTTAAAGGAACCGTTAAAGGAATCCTAAAACCCTACATCCGAGAACCCTTAAATGGGTGGTTCTCAAAATTATGTTCCCTTTTTGGGTCCTTAATATAGTACGGCACCTAATATTTAGGGTACCCAGAAAGGGACCATAATTTTGACAACTACCAAAATCAACCCTTAAAAGCCAAAGCCATTCCACCGACCTCCGATGTGGAGGTCTCGATCACCTCGCCCGTGTAGGCAGCCACGGCCATCTTGCTGTTGCCCATGACCTCAGGCAGAAGGATTGTAATGTAGGGCTTCAGGTTTGGGGAATATGGCGCTCACTGTTCAGGGATGGGTTCAGAATGAGATGAGGGTTTAGGGCTTATGGCTTGGGGCTCAGGATTTATAAGTATTTATAAGGGTCTGCAGGGGATCTGAAGGCAAGGCGTGGGGGTTCCTGTAAGGCCTCGTTTGAGCGATTGTGGTTTTAGGTTTAGGGCTCAGGCTTCGGGGATTTGGAGCTTATTCTCAGGTTTCGGGTGTGCCGGGGGGGGGGGGGGATTACTATAGAAAAGGGCACCAGTTAGGATTCAAAATGGAATGAACCCCAAAAATACCACAAACCTTAGACCCCTAAAACCTAACCATTTTGAAAAAAAATAAAGTTGAGCGCATCGAACACTTTGCCTCCAACCACGATCCAATGTGAACGTCCCAGGGTCATATGCCGCTGCTTTGTCTTGATTGTTGTTGGATGTCCCGCGTCATGGTCAGGATGGTCCATCCAGGCTGAAATGGAAGCTTAAGTGAAGACATGGCCCCCGGCAAATGGGTAGTTGTCAAAATCAGGTTTCCTTTCGGGATACCTAGATATTAGGTGCCTTACTACAGTATATTAAGGACCCAAAAAGGGACCATAATTTTGACAACAACCCACATTGCAACCAGGCCATGTCGTCCTCATGTGGAAAGCATCCTTTGTGCACGATGTCTGCGGTGCTGGCACAAAAACCCGTTAGCCTGCTATTTAACTCACTTCTCAGGGATTGAGGGGTTCAGGGGTTTGGGGTTTAGGGTTTCAAGGGTTTGGGGTGTAGGAGTTTAGGGGTTTGGGCTCATAAGAGGTTAGAGTTTACGGAAGGGTCTGCTGCAGGCGATCCCGGTTCGTCACCTTTCCTTGTTGAATGGAAGAGCTCACTCGACCCAAAATGCGAAACAGAATGGGCTCCAGTTTCTAGTGGTACTTCATGAACGGTAACCTAGAGGCTTAGGATTCCAAGGGTACGATGTGATTAGTATTCCGAACTTGTGCTCTGCAGGTCAACTTAGTTCAGCTCTTCCGAAGCACGAACGGGTCGTTGCTGCAGCTGCTGATGCGACGATGCTTTCATTGTTGTTCATGCTGCCGCTCATATTCCTGATATCACAACAAAGGAAGATCATTACTTCTAGTGACTCTAGTACTTGGGCTACTCGGACGCCGCGGGCAGCAGCAGCCGCAGCAGCAGGAGCGGCGGCAACACCAGAAGTGGAGCCCGTAGAAGTGTTGGTATCGGTTTAGTTTTAGTTTGGTGGTAGATGGTAGCAAATGGAACCTTCAACTCTGAACCTCTAATAAACCCCTACACCCAGTGCTCGAAGTGCACATGGCACTGAAGGCAGGTCACCAACTTTCCTTCCGCAGCAGCTTTGTTGATCAGTTTCATCAGCTGGTCGCCGGAGACCTTCTCAGAAACACCCCTAAACCTTAAACCGATTTCTATAAAGTGAGGGTGGTTCAAGGCGGTTACAACGGATCGGCCATGATCGGCCTTTACGGAACCCGAATTTAGTACCAGGAAGAGATCGGATGCCCACCTGGACCCCTGCCCCGAGGGCATTCTGTAAGTCTCTAATTTTAAGAGACGCAGCGGTGAACTTTATAGGATGTATCACAACTGCGGATCCAGCCGAGGTCTCAGAACGAGGAACAAAATCCGAAAAGCCTGACAATCCAAACCACAGGCTCCAGCCTCTGAGCTTGAAGCCCTCGACGCTAAACCCTACACCCTACTTAAACGATCGTGGGACTTAGTAACTAGGGTTACAATTGGGGTAACTATACTTACAACTACTTTTAACCCCAATTACGGTACTTATAACCTTACTTACTAAGTCCCATGGTCCTCCAAGTACACCTCAAAACCCGAAACGCTTTTCGTAGAAACAATCCAAACCTTGGAAGCCTCCGGCCCTAAGCACCAAAACCCCACCTGCAGTCCCAAAAGAACCTACCTTTCCAGCGGTTCTTTAAGAGGTTTGGGTTTAGGGTTCCGGGTTCAGGGTGTAGGGTTTGGAGTTTCGGGTTTAGGGTTCAGGGTCTACGATTTAGGGTTCAGGGTTTCATGGGCTACAGGTCTGCCTTCAACCCGAACCCTTAAACCCTTAAAACCCGAAACCTCCGCGCCTTCTCCTCCTCCAAGAGTTGCTTGGCAAGCTCATCGAGGAGATACCTTCCCAAAAAGGGTTCACACATACAACCATTATGGTTTAGGTATTAAGGATCAAAGCTCGGGCTTTAGATCTTTATCTTTGGGGCTTAGTATCATGGGGATACCTTCCCAAAAAGGGTTCATTGATACAACTGTTAGGGAAAAGGTTGTAGGGATCATTGTTCAGGTTTTTGATCCTTTAAATGGGACTCCAACCCAAAATGTTAGTATGCATGGACCGCCTGGGTTCTTGCAACTCTAAGGCAGCCTCCAAGGACCCGCACAAGCAAGAGGAGATACCTTGCCTGCTGGATGGAAGGTTTTCACGGTATTCGGATGTTCAAGGTCTGAAGGTGTGTTTATGCGCTGACGGTTTAGGGCAATAGAAATTTAGAAGCGTGTGCGGTGGGCTAAGGTCTATGGTTTGTCTGCACTAGAGCTTGAAGTTCGGGACGGAGAGGTTTAGCCGCTGTTTAGCCGAACATGTTTGCTGTCTTAAGGCTGTTGCAAGGCAAGAGCTGAAGGCCATTGTTGCAACTTGGTTGCAATTTTATACGCCCGTAAACCTTCAACCCTACACTGAAGGCTGAGCAGCATTTCCCTGAGGCTGGCCTGAACGTAATCCAGAAACCCCAAAAAATGTGGGAGTTTCCGAAAATAGGCGACCCTAATATAGTACCCTAAATAGTCGGATCCCTACTGTAAGGGCCCCAACATAAGGTACCCCTAATTTTCGCAGAAAAGCAATCATGCATCATGCCAAACCACCGAGGGACAAATGCGGATGATGCCCCTAGCTCAATGCGCGGAAGCTTGTCCGGAGCCAAGCAAGCTGCCAGAGCTTCCAATTACGAGACGCAGGCGCTGGAGGTGTTAGGGGCGAGACTCTTGTATTACGGGACGGAGGCGCTAGGAGAAGCATGCGCTGGTGTTAAAGGGCGAGACTCTTGTATTACAGGACGGAGGCGCATAGGGGACGGAGGAACATACGGGACGAGCTTTTACGGGACACGTAAATTAAGGGTGGGTGCTTCGTTGTCGCAGCCCGTCGACTCACTGCTGCTTCCTTGCCCAAAGCACCTGCTTGTACATTGCCTGCCGCAGCATTTCTGCCCCAGAGCGTGCGTAGCGGCGTGGCGTAGCATCGGTCCTCTCGTTCTCAGCTGCATGCAACCTAGTCAGGAACTCTGTGTCTTGTTCGTAAGCAGATTGCTAGCTGTCGGCTAAAGCGGCTAAAGTGTCGCGTCCATTCTAGAGTAAACATTGCTTGCTCGTATCGCGCATAGCATCGGTCTTCAAGTTATGTCAAAAAGGCCCACTCCGCTAGACGCCGCTATAATCGTTTTGCTTGGATAGAGTTCGACAGCCATGGCCGTGCCTCCGGGTGCCACACATGCAGCTACCACCAGAAGAGCCGGACGCACTGCTGGTCGCAGGCCCCTGCCGCTGGAGCGGACCGCCCTTGGCTTGTCCACCAGACGGCCTTCGCGTTTTGTATGCCTGGCTGGCCGCTCAGGATCCTCAGGCATGGCAAGCGGTGGCCAAAGATGACATGGGCTTTATCCTTGACGGACAAGAAGAGCAACTCTGGAAGACTAAAGCTCAGGTTCTGTTGACCCAGATCTTGGATCTTATGGAAACCGAAGGACAAAGCAGCATGGCTGAAGGCCTTCGACGTGGAAAATACCCAGGCGACGAAGAATTTGCATTTTATGCCCGCGTCCTGGGACCTTTCCTCGTAACGCCTTTGCACATAGCCGACGCTTTTCCTGTCATCCACGGACGTGGCCCGGTGCAGTGCGAGATGGGCTTTGTTTACAGCACAGACGGGGCCGGGCACTCTTCTGGCCACTACCTGCTGCTGCGAAGTTGGGCTGTGGTGGGGCCTGTTTCTCTCTCGGAATCCGAATTGGACCCGGTTATGGAGTCCGAGTGCCCGTCACAAGAAACTGCAGCAAGACGCTTGGCTGAAGACGACGATGCTAGTGGCATGAACGACAGCGACAGTCTTCTCAATGACGACGCTTGCGACCGCGCTAGCCAGGTTTCAAGGAGCAGCGTGCGACCCGAAAAATCCGCCACGCATCCTGGTGGACCCCGTGGCAAGCTGGCCCCGAAGGTGCGCTTCATGCCGGGAGCCTGCGCTTCGAGGCGAGAAGCATCGACTTCTGCGATGCCCATGGCGAGGTCGTGTAGGTCGTATACGTCCTCAGGAACTTCTGCAATGCCCTGTCCTGACGCTTCTTTTCTGGCACCTTCTTGGCCCAGCCCTTGGGATCACGCGCCAGTGCGCCGACTTCCACAAGGCCGCCATGGCGCCGGCGTAGAGACGGGAGCCAGTGTCCGCCAGACGCGCGAAAGCCTTGAGGCGCGCCGCATGCCCTTCTTTGGCGCCCAGTGTTTTCAGGAGCTTCTCCACGTGTTTTGCGGCGGCTTTCTTGTCATCGCAGGCCTTATTCGCCAGGTTGGCAATGTAGAGCGGCGTCTTCAGCGCCTCCAAGCAGCTACGGGCGGCAGGGACACCAGTGCGGTCAGAAGCCTTCCCAGACGAACTCGGCAGCACGGCCAGAGCGGCCGCGCAGGCTTCGAGGAAGCCGCAGCCAGACTCACCCCCATGGCAGGTTTAGAGACGCAGAGAGACGTATCCGGTGACGCCATCTCTTTCACTTGAGCTGCCGTGAAATATGCCGAAGGACTCTTGCGCTCGGTGAGGAGCATGGTGCCGTTCTCATCGGGCCAACTCCGCAAGGAGCTCTTCACCATGAGCTTCCACAGCGGGATGCCGGCTGAGTGCTTGTCCTTCGGGTCGTCCTTCGCCACGCGCTGACCACCTCACTTTGCAGGCGCGCCAGCAACACGCTTGCCCATTGCCACAATCTACACAGAGCTGTCTAACACAACTGTACTATAGACCGAGGGCCCAAAAGGAATGCTGCGGAAGGTACCTGCAAGCAGAGGACTGTCTCTCTCTCTCTCTCTCTCTCTCTCTCCCCCCCCCTATTTTCCTGTACCTCCCCGCTCTCTCCCTCTCTGTCTCTCTCTCTCTCTCTGTCTCTCTCTCTCTCTCTCTCTCTCTCTCTCTCACTTTCTGTGTCTTCTCTTTCCGTGCGTTGCTCTCTCTCTCTCTCTCTCTATCTCTCTTCTTCTTTCGCTCTCTTTCTCTTTGTCTTTCTCTTGCTCTCTCTGTCTCTCTGTCTCTCTCTCTCTCTCTCTCTCTTTCTCTCTTTCTCCCGCAGTCTCTCTCGTCTCTCTCGCTCGCTCTTGTCGCACGGACTCAATTTGAATGACTTTTCCAGCGCCGCCCAAGAGCTCAAGTGAACTATGCAGCAGGTAGAAGATGTCCGGGACCATCTGCAAGCGAATTTGGGCAGCGTGCCTGTATAGGCGACATCTTTGCGGCCGCCGCAGCTTCACTCGCGTTCAGTCTCAGAGCAGGTCTCGGCAAGGAAGAGGTCTTGTCACACAGACATGGAAGAAGACTCAGTCGCCGTGCGCCTCTGCGGCCGGACCGTAGTCCGCCTTCTCGTCGCTGTCGCCCGCAGGAGACGTCGAGCTCTGCTCGGCTGGTTCGTCGCCTAGGCCGCCGAGCCGCAAGCTTTCGGCCTTCGCGGCGAGGTCTTGCATAAGCTCCAGGATGCGCACGAGCTTCTCATGCTTAGGTAAGCGCGAAAAGCTCGTCTTCATGATCTCATGCGCTTTCTGGAGGCCGGAGGCCGCCAATATCAGCGCCGGCACGCTGTCCAGCAGCGCCACAAGAGAGGAGAGGGAGAAGCGATCCTCCTTGCTGTCGATACGTCTGGCCATGGCCTCGACCTCCTTCGCTTGACGTCTTCCGGTGCCCAAGAAGCAAAGAGGTGCGCGTCCTCGGCCGCCGCGTCTTCTGCATGGGCCAGAGTCGGCTCCGATTCCGAGACCGTCGCTGCGACGCCCCGCTCCGCGAGCGCGGCGGGCGCCGCCTGGGACGTCTTGGTTTTCTTCGCTGGCTGCCCTGCCTCTTCCTGCGACGGGCACTTGTCGACGGGCCGCGCGCGGCCGCCTGCACGCGGCGCTGCCTCGAGCGTCGGCGAGAAACTGGCCGTGGCTCCACGCGATGGCATCATCGTGGCCTTCTCAAATTGAGCCACCTGTTCGGGAGCCCAAGCGCGGACACGCGCCAAGACCGCCGAAAAGACATGCCCCTGCGAAGACGCGCGGAAGGCCTTCAGAGAGCGGGTGACGGCGCCGCGGCCGCGCGACGTCAAGAGAGCCCACCTCAGCGCCCACTTTTCGCAGAAGACGCATCCGCCGTGGCCGCTGGCGTCTGGTGCTCAGATTATTGCGCCACGCACTTCTGACTGACCGAAGTGATGCAGCAAACTGAAAATGCTCTAAACCCGCGAGAAAAATTACTTCGGGTGGCTGGGGTGGGATCCGCTGCACTGGAGCGGCCCGACTGGCGCGGGTCGGGACGCGGCACTGACACACACCCTAAATCCTAAACCCCTAAACGCCTAAAGCCCGAAACCCCAAAGCTGCACCCTAAAGCCTACTTCTACATTCTACATTCCCTGCAGGCTCTTCAGGATCGGAGTCGGGCTTTCCCCCCAGCTCTGGAACCCTACTTAAAGGATCATGGGACTTATAGTACTTAGATAGGGTTAAAGATAGGGTAACTATACTTACACCCACTTAAACCCAATTAAGGTACCCATAAGCTTACTTACTAAGTCCCATGACCCTTCAAGTAAACCGTCCTAAACCTCAACACCTAAACTCCTAAGACTTCCAAACCTCTCGACTCTCATCCGTGACAGTCCAAAATTCCGAACTCTTAGATTGCGAGAGAGCCCTTGTATTGGAGCCCTTCTCCAGCCATTACCCGCACCCTGACATGACTACCCAAAGGCCCCAATGTAGTTCCTGTTTGTGTTACTTATATTATAGAATTCTATAAGGTAGCTTCAAAAAGGAACTACTATGGGGTCTATGGGTACAACTGCTTGAAAAAGCCAATTAAGGTAACTACTGAGCCCCTTCAACGCTTAAACCCTAAGCAACCTCTGTATAAACCTTTGTAGCAACCCTTGGAGAAACCCCGATAGCCTTATAGTTACTAAGTCCCAGTAATCTGGAAATAACTGGGATCCCAGGTGCATGTTGTCCCGAAGGAGCTTCATGCCACGCTGATACCTGGGTTTAGGATGGGTGGTTAAAGCGATCAGAGTTGCGGGGTACCAGAGTGTAGAGCTTCAGTTCACGGGTTGAGGGTTCACGGGTTGAGGGTTCACGGTTTGCTTGTTTTTTGTTTGAGCTCCTTTTTCCGCCTGCTCAAATCCCGAACGGAAGGCTACAGAAGCCAGGGTTTGCTTTAAGGTTTGGGGTTCCGGCTTAAGAGTCCCGAAATAGAAATCTGTGTTAGGAGACATGTTTCAGGCTTGGGTCGGTAGGGGTCCAGGGTTCAAGCCACCGAGTTCCAGGATGCTCACATCGAGAGGGTTCAGCATGGTAAGGGTCCTAAACCCTAAACCCTAAGGCCACAGGCGCATTGTCCGAAGCGAGCCTTTAGTTGCGGCAACGGCCGGAGGGAATTCTTGGGCAGGATGAACCACAACCCCAACCGTTGGATAGGGCTAAAAGGGTTTAGTTGACCCGGAAAACCTGGCCCTAACCCGCAGTGGAGGCTGGGGCAGAGGCTTCCGGGAAAGGCTTGAAGAAGGGCTGGAACTTGGAGGTATGGGTAGTTATAAGTACGGGTATATATATATATATATATATACATATATATATATATATATAGATGTGTGTCTCAGTCCCCTAATAGGAGTTCCACGTATAGTTACCCTACTTATCACCCCACTTATAACTACCCTAAACCCTTAACGCTATAGTTGAGACATTCTTTGCGTGGTAAAGCTGGTAGAAGCTGGATTTATTTCTTAGTGATTTCATAGTGATTTGTTAGTGATTGGGGATAGTGGTTTTTCAGCCACGAATTTAGGGACAGCTCTGGTTACAGCTACGTTCGGAGCTATGCATAAACGGGGGGTGTCGCCAGGAGTGGTTTTTGCAAGCCACGTTCTACGCAGTAGCTTTTTCTATCTTGAGATAGAGGTCCCGGGCCCAAAGCGTTGAGGTTGTAGCGTAGATGCTCGAATAAGGGTGTTGGGGTTTTTAAGGGCTAATGCAGCCACGGAGCGAAATAAAATTGCACCGGCGAGTGGGCAGCATAATGGGTTTACTAACCCGTCTGCTCTGCGGCAGCCACAGCCACAGACACACAGACCCATGCACACTCTTTGTATGGAACACTGCATTTGACACTCTGTGGCGAGACTCCAAACTGGTCAGCATGTGGTCCGTGATGCCGTTTTCCCAGTGCATTTTTTGCAGTGCTGCTGGGACAGTGAGTACCAGAGTATCAGTAGCACCAGTAGAATTCCACATCAGATCAGCCAAGGCCACATGACATGTCACATGCCTCCACAAACGAAAGGCATACCGCGGCACACCTTCACTAGAATCACTAGAATCTAGAAGAACAACAGATCACGTCACTAATGACATGAAATGGCGCTATATCACTATAGTACTATAGTGGCCTATGGCTATGGCGGCTACGGAGGCCGGGCGGCCTGCCAAGCCCATGCGTCCAACAACTCCGGCGGGGGAGCCTCCAAAACGAACCACGAAAAAATCACTGTGGCGAGGGAGCCTCCGACACGAATCACAAAATAATCGCTACGGCGGGAGAGCCTCCAAAACTCATCACTAAAAAATCACTATGGCGGGGGAGCCTCCAAAACGCATCACTAAGAAATCACTATGGCGGGGGAGCCTCCAAAACGCATCACTAAAATATCACTAATTGAAATCACTCGGAACGTCACTCCGAAATCATTATTTCCTAGGGAAATAGTGATTTCGGAGTGATTCTGGTGGCTCCCGCCGAAATCACTCCAAAATCACTATTCCGGAATGCCTGCGAAATCACTCCGAAATCACTATTTCCTAGGGAAATAATGATTTTGGAATGATTCTGGTGGCTCCCGCCGAAATCACTCCAAAATCACTATTCCAGAATGCCTGCGAAATCACTCCGAAATCACTCCAAAATCACTATTTCCTAAGCAAATAGTGATTTCGGAGTGATTCTGGCTCCCGCCGAAATCACTCCAAAATCACTATTCCGGAATGCCTGCGAAATCACTCCGAAATCACTATTTCCTAGAAAAATAGTGATTTCGGAGTGATTCTGGTGGCTCCCACCGAAATCACTCCAAAATCACTATTCCGGAATGCCTCCGAAATCACTCCGAAATCACTATTTCCCTAGGAAATAGTGATTTCGGAGTGATTGCGGATTGATTTCGCAGGCATTTCGGAATAGTGATTTCGGCGGGAGCCACCAGAATCACTCCGAAATCACTATTTCCCTAGGAAATAGTGATTTCGGAGTGATTTCGCAGGCATTCCGGAATAGTGATTTTGGGGTGATTTCGGCGGGAGCCACCAGAACCACTCCAAAATCATTATTTCCCCAGGAAGTAGTGATTTGGGAGTGTTTTCGGAGTGATTTCGCAGGCATTCCGGAATAGTGATTTTGGAGTGATTTCGGCGGGAGCCAGAATCACTCCGAAATCACTATTTCCCTAGGAAATACTGATTTCGGAGTGACGTTCCGAGTGATTTCAAATAGTGATATTTTAGTGATGCGTTTTGGAGGCTCCCCCGCCATAGTGATTTCTTAGTGATGCGTTTTGGAGGCTCCCCCGCCATATTGATTTTTTAGTGATGAGTTTTGGAGGCTCTCCCGCCGTAGTGATTATTCTGTGATTCGTGTCGGAGGCTCCCTCGCCACAGTGATTTTTTAGTGATTCGTTTTGGAGGCTCCCCCGCCGGAGTTGTTGGACGCATGGGCTTGGCAGGCCGCCCGGCCTCCGTAGCCGCCATAGCCATAGGCCACTATAGTACTATGGAGTGATATAGTGCCATCTCATGTCATTAGTGACGTGATCTGTTGTTCTTCTAGATTCTAGTGATTCTAGTGAAGGTGTGCCGCGGTATGCCTTTCGTTTGTGGAGGCATGTGACATGTCATGTGGCCTTGGCTGATCTGATGTGGAATTCTACTGGTGCTACTGATACTCTGGTACTCACTGTCCCAGCAGCACTGCAAAAAATGCACTGGGAAAGCGGTCTCGCCACAGAGTGTCAAATACAGTGTTCCATACAAAGAGTGTGCATGGGTCTGTGTGTCTGTGGCTGTGGCTGCCGCAAAGCTGACTGAACACACACACTCCAGTCACTCCAATCATTTTTCGGGTTTGATTGGGGCCTTTGTAAATTTAAGAGGAGCTTGAGTCCAAAGTGGTAAGTGGGCCTTGCAAAGCTTCTTTCACCACTGCACTACGTCACTACGACGAACCGCTCACGATTGCTGTCTGGTTGGCGGGCGGTGGAATGACAGGTCTGTGTGGCCGGCCGCGGCAGCACGTCACTAAGAAATCACTAGGTTCCAATTCTGTGCGGCGGGGCCGCAGGCGCATCACTAAGAAATCACTAGGGTCGGAGATGCTACTAAAAACTCCTTTTTAAAACCACTATTCTGAATCACTAGGAAATCACTCCGAAATCACTAATAAATAGTTTGAGTGTGCCCTCAATGTTTACCACATATGGAGATCTTAACGCCATAGAACCCTGAAAGGATCCCTGAAAGGAGTCCCTGTAACCCCGGGCCCTTTATAATTACCCATGAACCTCCAAGAAGGGGTTGGGATTTGGTTAGCGCAACCCGAAACCCCCAGTTCGGCTTGGTAGGGTCAAGGAAGGGGGCAGACTTAAGGGAGGGCCAGCCGGAAGCATGCTCGTGATTTCGGGGGCTTTGGCTTTTGAGATGTTGCGAGTATAGTGCGTAGTCAAGGTCTAGGATATCTATGATTTAGCTAGGGTGCTGCTCGTCCACGATGCGCTTGATCTCAGCGTCCACCTTCTGCTTCCTCAGAAGAAAATGTGACATTGTTGCAACTGACTCTTTATCAGGTCGATGTGGGACCGTGTGAGTTGAGGGTGCCCCTTGCCATGCTGCCTTAACATGTGCTTCAAGTGATATCAGCGGATAGAAGCCTTCTTGTCGGGTATCATGGGGAACTAAAGGTTAACCTTTTTGGATATATAGGGATTATACAGGGACTATACTAAAAGGTTAAAGGTTACCTACTCTACTACTACGGCTGATGATAAAAATCCTGCATTACCTTAAGCACTCTAAACTATGGGAATTATGGTATATTCCTTATTATGGGTAATGCATGATTTGTATCATCAACAGTAGGGATATGGGGCCCCTGCTCTTAATGGTCATGTGGACCTTAAGATAATCACAAGAAGAAGCTCTACAGAATAGCGTTGGTATTCGAACAGGGCCCCAAATAATCACTCATACTCCTTGGGGGGTTCCTCGCTATGTTAAAGTATACTGTACTCATACTATTTGGGGGGTTCCTTATTATAACTAAAGTATAATAACGTACCCCCAAACCCTTACTAGCTGCACTTACAGGGTTCCGCTGATCAGACTCCTTACCGACGCGCATGCCACCCCTGCACGGCTTTTTAAAATGGGTATAAAGGCCACTCCCCATTGTCCTTATTGTCTTCATGAAAATGGAGACATTGAGCACATAATTTGGGCTTGCCCCAGGTTCAGAATGCATCGTGCTGATTGGGACCCGGTGCTACTGGATAGGAGTAACTGGCCTGCATGCGCTACGCATGCATTAATCTTCACTGACGACATGAATGATAGCCTTAAAGACAAATGGCACGTTTTTCAGATTCATGTTTCACAGCTATTGTCACAATGGATGGAGCTCAATCGCCATCCTGAGCTGTATGAACAGTTTGCACCTGGATCCTGTCTCCCTGCGCAGCCAATACAGACGCGGGACGAGCCTTGCCTAGTCCAAGATTCCATTACTCGGCAGTGTGAACCACTACCACTTGATTGGAGGCCACCGGCTAGTCGCACTGCCATCAACCAATGGGGTAGTGCTTTAACTGACTACAGCCTCATCTTTCAGTCTTGGGCACGATGCACCATGCACCCCCATCCTAAAGCCACTAGAATCCGCACGTGGTCGCATGCCTTGGCACTTTTCGTTCAAAATGGTGGTCATCTTTCCACGTTCCTTTATGAATGTCAGTTCATAGGCATGGCCGCTTATAAGTTTCGACTCCTGTCTCGCAAACTTCTTGAAGATCAAGATTTCTGGGATGACCTTCCCGATTTTGAAAATGAAGCTGCAGAGAAAATTAGATGGCTTCCCACTTTTCCCAAAGAAAGCGCGTTTCCGCCTTCTGTTTTTTACACTCCCCAGTGGGATCTTGTTGATGTTGCCATGAGATTGCAGCGTATCTTCATCGAACACAAAATTGAGGAACAAGTCAACACACACGTGCTGCGGATCACTCCCGCCGACTTCTGTACGGCCTTCACTGACAAGCAGCCTGTTTTTAGGAATGAAATGATCAGCAAAAACTGGGCTTTGCCGCGTTTGTTTTCTAAAAGCAGACCGCCGCCTTGGATTGCTCTTGTCAATGAGTTAAAAGCCAGCCGTAACCCTCCTGACATTAAAATTACTTGTATTACTCAACTGTCACTTGACACATGGAATTCTATGACCGCGCTTGAAATTCGTAATGCTTTACCTGCGAAGCCAGGACCGCTTAAACGTTTCAAGGCGGCCATCAACAGAATTACTAGATTTCAGGATGCGCTTGAAAGGTTCAAAGCCAACCAAACTCTTGAGAACACTCGCCGTACGCACATCCTTGAGCCAAGTTGGGCACAGACTGAAAGATGTGCTGCGTGCAATGCGCCGATCAACTTCTCGTGTGAACCGCGCAAGCTTACGCGCAAATGCCCGAAACCTAAAGACTTCCCTGTACAGATGTTGGACTCCTGGTCCCAAAGCTACGAAGAAATGCTTCGACTTCTGCAATCTATTTGCAGCAAGTTATAAATTATTGAATTCTTTACATTTGTTTGTACACATTCTTTGAGGATGCACACGTCGTCCTTCGTTTCGCTCTTCGTTGACAGGCTTTCGCCCGCATCCACCCCCAAACCCTATTCTAATTATTGTAAGGCCCCTCTAGTATGTTTGTCCCAAAGATTCCATGTACCTTTGTTAAGCCTAAAGGGGGCCCCTATATAGGTACTTCAAGGCCTAAGTATATACTGTATGGTTGCATGGAGCCTTAGGGTGTGTGGCCTCCCAGGCGCCTAGACTGGGTATCGGACGTGGGCTATCGCCCACTGCACATCTCAAATCTCGACTGCGTGGGAAAAGAGAAATGGTAAGTATCATCAGGGCTCCAACGTTGTACATACTATGGAGGGGCCTCTTTTTACATGGGATAGTGCTTCAGGGTGTACTTGAAAGTAGTATTTAACAGCCTAGTATAATGGTACTTGGACCCTTGAACTAAGTAACCGTAAACCCTAAACCCTTACTAAACTCTAAGCCCTAAACCCTGCTGGGCGGAGTTCAGCCTTGCGGCTCTCACGAAAACCCAGAGACTCCAAAACCCCTTTCTATATATATATATATATATATATATATACATATATATATATATAAGGAATATATCTGAAATCAATTTGGTTAAGGGCCGTGGAAACTACCCCTAAACCCCTTATGATGCATTTAAGGAATATACCTGACATCAATTTGATTAAGGGCCCTGGAGCCCTAGAAAATCCCAAACCCCTGATTTAAGGACGATATCTGCATTCAGAGTGATTAAGGGCCCTGGAATCCCTGGAAACCGGCTCCTAACTTGCGCCGGAGCACAGAGCCTGGGACATGGGAGGAGCCCCCTGTCCCATGAAGTCACGGCCCATGAAGGGACCACCACCCTGCTGACCTGATTAATTTAGGGGCTCCTTTTACAGGGTATCTTTACCTGGAGGATCATGGGACTTAGTAAGTAAGGTTATAGGTACCTTAAGTGGGGTTATAAGTAGTTATAAGTACAGTTACCCTAATTATAGCCTGATAAAAGGGGTTTAGGGTTGCGTTAAGGGCATCTTTAAGGGTTCCGGAAGGACTCTCTAAGGCTTCTATATATGGGTTCATTTAAGGGCTTACTTCGGACCTAGATTTGATTAGGTTTCTGCGTGTGGGGAGTTGGTGTCTGGGAATCAAAGCCTGCTTCATACCTTGATAGTGGGATGCACCCTGAATCAGATTAGAGATCACGCGATAGTTACAGTTTCAAGGTCATTCCCTTGCAGGATTGAAGTTCGCGAGCTCATACTCTTCTAGTAGAAGGTCAGCAATCAAAGCGCTACGTCCTACAATGCAGCTGGCTGTGACATCCTTTCTGGCGGCGCTTGCTTCAAGTGGCAGGTTCAGAATGGGTCATTCAATTAGAGACTCCTATAGAGACCCTTCTAAAGCCAATTGAAAGTCTCCCGCAACAACCCAATACAAACAAGGCACTCCACCTAATTCTAAAGCATTCTTAGAAATCGAGACCCTTCTATACACCCATTGTAAGTCTCTCCGCTCCCCTTAGGCGGCAAGAACTACCTCGTCCTGACGAGAAGATAACCTCAAGTTTCCTTATTATAGGGCTCTTGTGATTCTCTGAGCATTTAAGTATCTGGACCCCTGGGGTTTACACAACTTTCAGAGGATCACCTCCCAGGAGACGCTGGCCAATCTCCGGCGACATACCCAGGGTCATCACCATCTGCTTGGCGACCTCCACCAGGTGTCGGATTTAGTAGGGTCCCCGTGAGGAGAGACAGTCTCCTTTGAGGGGTCTCCCTAATACTACGCATTACACTGTACGTCAACTATGGTATGCTTTTCAACGTTATAGCTGCTATCATGTTATAGCTATGATACCTCCCGGGTGTCGGGGTTGTGGGGCCGGGGCCTTCAATAGTCAAAATGGGGATCTGAGGATGCCACCCTAAACTGCACTTAAAGACTGTGAGGGTGTACCGTATTACCGTATAGCATCACTAGTTCTTCCGACCCTTGAACTACTGGGGTTTAAAAGGGTTAGGGCCCAGCGTTTAGGGGATCCAGAAGGGTTTGGGCTCAGGGCTGAGGGCTTGGCAGGTTCAGTGCGCAAGGCGCTGAATATGACGCACTGCTGCCCGTAACCACGACCCTGAATGCTACCGTCACCACAAAATTTAAAAAGACCCCCCCCCCGCAATGGAGAAGCCACATATAGCGCATCCTGCGAGCACTGGTTCAAGGCAGTTGCATTAACGTGGAGAACCTCCACATAGGAGTTTCCGAAAATCAGGGGTACCTTATTTTGGGGTCCCTGTAATAGGGAGCCTACTATTAATTTAGGGTACTACATTAGAGTCCCCTAGTTTCGGAAACTCCCACATTCGATTTACGGATTGGAGGTTGGGGTTTGCCAGAGCTTCAGGTCCTTGCTTGAGGCCTGGGCCACCTTTGATGGTGAGGGTTTAGGGTTTAGGGTTTAGGGTTTAGGGGGCTTCGAGTGTCAAGTCTGGGATATGAGCTTCAAGGGCTTCTTGTTTTCTAGTGTGGTGTATACGTGTTTTATAACTAACCAGGAACCACGATAACAAATACCCAAGCACCTTGAAGCCCGGCTCTCTGCGGGATAACGCGGTCTTTGGGATCTTCAACGCGTATCTTCAAACCCTAAAGCCTGAAACTCTAGACCCTCGAACCCGCCAACCCTAAACACAACCTTGAACCCCAAGCCCCACATGCATAATTATGAGTACGTCTCTGGACCCTGGAAAGCAGACCCTCTCGTATATGAAAGATACAAACAGAAGCTAGAAAGCCCTTGAGAGGTAGGTTCTACCAGTACAATCGGGCCCAGGCAAGCAAGCTAGAAAAATGCGACCTTCCGAACTAGAATACATTGCACAAAAGCATCAGTAGGAGTCCCCTACAGTTGAGAACGGGCCCGAGATGGCCGACATAGTGCAAAGCAGGTTTTAGTGTTTAGGGTCTATGACTTTTCATTCGGAACAACTGTGGTTTGTGGTGTGTGCAAGTCTCCCATCCCACAGGGCCCTTGGAGATGCGTGACTTGCCCGACGAGAAGATTTTCCGACACATCTCAAACTATACAAAGCAACGTCTTGAGCCCCAGCCTACAGCGTGTATGAATGAAACATTCAGTTGGAAAGCTTTGAACACCTATTGACCTCACAACCCTACACCTTAAAGTCCTAAAACCCTAAACCCCAATATACTACTTTTAAACCCTAAACCCTGAAACCCTTGAAAGGAACAGTGAATTGGGCTTTCGGGGCTCTTCTCTGCACCTGCGTGCACTGCTGGAAGTCGTTGGAGGCGCCAGTGGTCACGTTGTCCTACTTAAAGGATCATGGGACTTAGTAACTAGGGTTCCTTAAAGGGCTCCTTAAAAGGGATCTATAGGGGTTCCTTAAACGATCTAGCTACTTATAACCCCAATTAAGGCACTTATAACCTTACTTACTTACTAAGTCCCATGATCCTCCAAGTAGCAGAAAAAGAGCAGGTACGATGGCATAGGAAGGCTTTTAGGTGTAATGCTTCGGGTTTGCAGTGTTTTTGCACCATTTACTGAAAGCCGAAACGGATGTTCAATGTTCAAGAGAGCTGGGTTTGGAGCTCCCTCATGTGATCCCTATCATGGGTTTATACTACAACCAACTTTGCTAGATCCCTCAGGCCCACAACCGTCAAGCCTCACACCCCAATTCCCAACGACCGTCTTGAACTTTCAGAGAACCTTTAGGAGCACTGAAAAGAATCCCGAATATAGGGACCTCAATAACTAGAATAGGGCTATTTGGGGCCCACTATACAATAAGTATAATATAATGAGGAACCACCAAATAGTATTTAGGCCCCTATTAGTATGTAAAACCTACGGCCACTTCGGCTTCCTCATGCCAGGGCTGACAGCCCAAATGCCCACGAGGATCAGGAAAAACAGATATCCCTCAACTAGGAACCGTAAAGCCACCTTTGGTTAGTATTGTCCCCAACTTTTCGAAGGCTGGAGACTTTTGGCAACAAAGCACATAAGCAAAAATTAGGATAGTGATCTCCCATATAAACCCCCTTTAAAAGAAGCCCAACAAGGCAGTGATATCCCGGTAAAATGCTTATGCTTATGTGCTTTTGGGGTCCCTAAGGTTTGTGGCTCAGGGCGGAGGACCCATGGTTTAGGGCTCGCGGCGCCAAGTGTTTCAAGGTCTCGGGCCTGTTGTTAAGGCAACTTTCCGCTCATCTGAGACCCTAAACCCTCAACACGTAAAATTCTATCCCTTGCGAACCCTTCTCGAACCCCGAGCCCGAAACCCGAAACCCTAAACCCCAAACCCTATCCTAATCTGCGGCTCTTGGGTCGGTGCGTTCAGGGATTCTGGGGCGAGGCTGGCCGGAGTGGACGACTTGCTGCTGGAATACTTTTTCAGCCTCCTCTCCTCCGCCCTAAATCCCAAACCCTGAACCCTCAACTCCTCGCAGTACTACCCATGAACCCTAAACCCTATACCCTTATAGAATCCCTATAGATCCCTTTAAAGGGACCCTTAAAGGACCCTCGCAGTTCCTTGATGGACCCCCTTTGAAGGAACGCTGAAAGATCCCTCAAAGGAGCCCTCAGCCCCTAAGCCCTGGATCCCCAATTAAACTTTCACAGCCCCAAGACCAGAATCTAGGGTTTAGGGTTTAGGGGTTTAGGGTTTAGGGGTTTAGGGGTTTAGGGTTTAGGGTTTAGGGGTTTAGGGGTTTAGGGGTTTAGGGTTTAGGGTTTAGGGTTTAGGGGTTTAGGGGTTTAGGGGTTTAGGGGTTTAGGGTTTAGGGTTTAGGGGTTTAGGGGTTTAGGGGTTTAGGGTTTAGGGTTTAGGGTTTAGGGGTTTAGGGGTTTAGGGTTTAGGGTTTAGGGGTTTAGGGGTTTAGGGGTTTAGGGTTTAGGGTTTAGGGTTTAGGGGTTTAGGGTTTAGGGTTTAGGGTCCTACTTGGAGGTTCATTGGTAATTATAAGTGGGGCTATAAGTAGGGTAACTGTACTAATACAGCTCAGATTAGGGGACTTATAGCCCCACTTATAACTACCCTAAACCCTAAACCCCTATAGAACCCTTTAAAGGAACCCTGTAGCCCTGCTTATAACTACCCATGAACCTCCAAGTAACTGCTCCACCTCTGAAGCCTGAAGCAGTGTGAACCACAATCCTGTGAACACGGTGAGTCTGTGCGATCCTTGGCAAGGTTCCTTAAAGGGTCTATAAGGGTTCTACAAAGGGTTTAGGGTTTAGAGTTTCCGAAAATTAGGGGTACCTTATTTGGGGGGTCCTTATAATAAGAAGCTTCTCCTTTAAGGTAAAAGCCAGAAAGTTGGAATATGATTATCCTAACCCTTCTATGGTAAATTATAGTGTATCCTACCAGGAAACGATATTCCAACTTTCTGGAATTCCCTGTAAAGCCTGAGCCTGCAACATGATTCCCAAAACCCTAAACCTGCAACAGAAATCCTAAACCCGAATTTAACCTGCAACACAAATCCTATACCGTAAATAACCTGGAACAACTTTACAGCTCTAAAACCCTAGGCCCTAAACCCTAACGGGATTTAAGTTAGGGTTTTTCAAGTATCATGATAGGGTCTTGGGAAACCCCCCCCAAACCCTACACCACCAGCCCCTTTCAAGATCACAGCACTGCGAGGCCTTGCCGTTGATGATCTCTTCGGCCAAACCTTACCGTTGGATCTACTTAAAGGATCATGGGACTTAGTAACTAGGGTTATAATTAGGGTAACTATACTTATAACTACTTATAACCCCAATTAAGGTACCTATAACCTCACTTACTAAGTCCCATGATCCTCCAAGTAGGGCTTAGGGTCTCGCAGCTAGGTCGGCTTTGGTAGTATGGGTCGAGATCAGTTGATGTACATATACTTCTTAGGGCTTTGTCGGTTTGGGATTACGGGTCGATATCTGTTTAATGTACCTTGACATACTTGTACATGCAGGCCCAGTTGGCCCGAAGCCCTCCTAGGCTGTTCAACAAACCCAATGTGGACATATGTGCAGCTTGTCGGGTTAGCGATACCACACTTACTACACCCCCAAACCCTGAACCCTGAACCCTCACCCTAGACCCTAAACCTCTGAAACCCCTGATCCCCAAGCCTAAATTCTGAACCTTGGCCCAAAAAGCTGAATCCTAAAGCTAGCCCCCAGTCAAAGGCTTGCCAGCAGACGCCCACCCAGCGCAACGCACATGCGATTCTCCAGGAACTCCTTGAGGTCAAGGACACTTTGCGGGACTTTGGGGTTCTGAGGGTTTAGGGTTTAGGGTTGTTTAGAGTTCAGGTCGTTCCGGCACTTACCGGGCTTGAAAATGTTAAAGCTTTTGGGTTTCCTGTACGGATTCTGGTAAGGTCTGGTATTGCCCCTGGAATTCCAGAACGATTCGGCATGAATCCTCGGCCATGTGTAGGTCTGGTACAGGCTTCTATAAAGGCTAGAGGGGTTTAAACCTTGGAAAATAGGGGCTTCCTGAGCCTTAAACCCAACCGTCTGGAGACTCCACAACCATTCTTTTAGGGGCCGAGTATTTTGACCCACAAGAACTTTAACTAACCTTTTCAGTTCTAGTACGTACGGTTTTACATAATACCCCAAAACTCAGCTACTAGGTTTTTGGGATTGAAGAGTGTATCCCGTTCCTTGGGGTGTGCGGGCAGAAAGCCTTGAAAGCGTGAAGGGTGGTAAAGTCGGAGGCTAGGGCTTAGGAGTTTACCTAGTAGTCTCTGTTGGAGTTCTGCTTGGGGTTGCCTTATAGGATCAGGATCCTGACTATAAAACTGTTAACCTAAAGCAAGAAGTACAGAGGCAGGGCTTGGGTTTTAGGGCTGAGGGGCTTAGAGTAGATTAGAGGTGTACTCGGGCTTAGAATGTACGGTTGTCAGGCAATTGGACCATTTGTGGAATGGCAAAGCCCCAAACCCCTGCACCCAAAACCTTAAACCTCAATCATCCTAAACCCTAAGCCCTAAACCCTAAACCCAAAGCCCTAAACCCTGCACCCCAAACCCTAAACCCTACACCCTAAACCCTAAACCCAAAGCCCTAAACCCTGCACCCCAAACCCTAAACCCTACACCCTAAACCCTAAACCCAAAGCCCTAAACCCTAAGCCCTAAACCCTAAACCCTCCAACCCCAAAGCCCTGCTAACATTCTCTTCTCCACAAGAAGCCAAGCAAGCAACACCCCAACTTCCCAACACTACCGGAGGGTTTAGGGTTTAGGGTTTTGGGGTTTAGGGTTTGGGGTTTAGGGTTTAGGGACAAACCACAGCCACCTAAAAACAACAACAAGCTCCTACACTTATAGCTTCGCCTCACAGGCCGAAACCTGACCCCCAACACTCTTAACTTAGGGGCATGAAATATTAGAAGAAGACTTTAAGGCTATACTATACCAGAATTACAAAAAGGAGCCACCAAAACCCTATTCTAAGTATCAAGATCTCTGCATTACTTGTCCGGCTGAGGCCAGCTTACTTGGAGTCTTTACCTTTGGTTAGTAGGGAATGGGAGGAGCCTTATAAAGGGGTCTAAAAGGGTTACTACAAGGGATCTACAAGGGTACTATAATATAGGGGCCTTAATCCTATAACTTACCTTTGGTTAGTAGGGAATGGAGGAATGGGCTACAACTATACCTACTATTACTACCAGTCTTCCATTTCCTACTAACCAAAGGTAAGCAAACGAGTCAAAAGGTTGCCTGCTGAAACCCGGAATCCTAAACGCGGAACCCTCAATCGCTCAATGCCGTAGACTTAGACCCTACAAAACCCCTAAACCCCTACACTAAACCCTTAAAGCCCTAACCCCGAAGAAAAACCAAAACCCCTAAACCGTTGACCCTAAAACCCCTAAACGCTCTCCCACAAAAGAAGCCTAAACCCCTAAACCTTTACAGCCCTAACCCTGAAAAAACAAAAAACAAACCCCTAAACTCTTAAACCCTTAAAGCCCCAAACGCCGAAGAACAAATCAAAACACCGTAAACCTCTAGGCCCCATAGACCCTAAACCCAAAACCGCTGACCCTAAACACCCTAAGTGCACCACAAAAAAATGAACACCCAAACCGCCTAAACCCTCAAAAGCCCGACTCGCATGAAAGGCCTTCGAATAGAGGCCGGAGTTCAGCCTATCCTCGGAAGGCATGAAGATCCTCGGAAGGCTAATTGAAGGCTTCCTTTTTTCTGGCTTAGGGTTTAGGGATTAGGAGAAGGCTTTTCAAAGCTTTAGGGATTTAGGGTTTCAGGGGTCCTTTCCAATAGTCTTTCAAGGGTCCTAAACCCTAAACCCTAAACCCTAAACCCTAGAGGGCTTCGGGGAATTGGGTCCCAAAAAAATCTCGTCTCAGGGGTTCTGTAAGGGTTTACTTGTTTAACCATAAGGGTTTGAGGAATCCTTTTACACTCTATACGGGTTAGGGGTTTTAGGGCTTTAGGGTTTTGCGGCTCTAGGGCTGTAGGGTTCAGGGGTCCTTTACCCTAAGGCTCAACATAGCCCACAAATCCTTATATAGTATGGTCTTTGGGCCCGAAAGCCTTAAAATATGAGTCCTTAGAGCCTAAGGGTTAGGATCCCAAGAGCAAAAATCCAAAAACATCCCCGGGGCCTGAAGAATAAATACCAGCGTTGATCATAGTCTGTGGTCCCACAAAGGCTCCATGTACCTTTATAGTAGATACTTAAGCCTGAAAGGGGTCCCTATATAGATACTTTAAGGCCTAAGTATATACTATGGTAAAAGCCAGAAAGTTGGAATATGATTATCGTAACCCCTTTATGGTAAATTATAGGGTATCCTACCCTGAAACCATATTCCAACTTTCTGGAGTTCCCTTTATATGGTTACAGGGAGCCTTGGAGGGTTCAGGGTTTAGGCCTCTAACCCAGGGTTCCATATGCCATGGACCTTTTGAGGTACTCCTTTAGGGTTTAGGGTTTAGGGTTTTGGGTTTAGGGTTTAGGGTTTAGGGCTTTGGGTTTAGGGTTTAGGGTTTAGGGTTTAGGGTCAATGAATATGTAGGCCCCTAGTGGTCCAAATAAGTTCAACTATACTTCCTCACCAATCTACCCGAACACCCTGTTCCTATTCTTGAGGCCCCTATACTCAATCCGCAAAAAACCTTCCAGAACCCTCAGCCTGCTGAAGGACCTGTTGCAGCAACCTTCTGCTAAGGATTTAGGATCCTTAACTCTAGGCCCGACCCGGGCCCCCGTTTCGTAGGGCAGCAAGACAAGATTCGTCACGCCACCGGCTGGGCCTCGAGGCACGATGCCTCGACGGCTGGCCCCAGAGACTTTTGGGCTTACAGTTCAAAGGCTTAGGGCTTAGGGTTTATGGTCCCGGCTTAGAGGGCATCTCAGACTTGCGAAAAGGTTTCAAAGGGGCGTCAAACCCTTGAACGCCCTACGCCTTAAACCTAAACCCTAGGTTAGATGCCCTAAACCTTAAACCCCGAATGTCCTAAACCCTAAGCCCCCTTTCGTGGTTCATTATTTTCGCATTTGTCTGGCGGACTGATTTCAACCGTCCTTGATGTGTGTGTGTGTGTGGGGCTCACCAACCTCTAACCGGTAAACCCCTCAAACCTTATAACCCTAAACCCCTAATGCGCAAACCCCAAAACTATTTTTGTTATTATTATGAACCCAAAGCCCCTAGACCCTAAACCCTGCATCGAAGCTTGCTTTCAACCGCTACTGACAGTAGGGTCTTTGCTTAGAGAATGTGCGCGGGGCATAGGGCTAGGGGTTTCGGGGTTGAGGGGTTTTCGGGTTGAGTTTGTTGTTCAAGGTTCAGGACTTAGGGGCCATAATAGGCCATAAGCTACTTAAAGGATCATGGGACTTAGTAACTAGGGCTATAATTACGGTAACTATACTATACTTATACCTACTTATAACCCCAATGAAAGTACTTATAACCTTACTTACTAAGTCCCATGATCCCTAAACTAGGGCTTATGGCTTCCGAGGTTCAAGGCCTCGTCTTGTAACCCTAAACTCCGAAACTCAAGACACGGCTCGCTCCTGGAGTCACAGGGCCACAGGTGCCAAAGGATCCCTGTAAAGGTTTAGAGTTTAGGGTTTAGGGTTTAAGGTTTAGGGTTTAGGGTTTAGAGTTTAGGGTTTAAGGTTTAGAGTTTAGAGTTTAGGGTTTAAGGTAAAGGGATCCTTAAAGGGCTAAATGGGTGGTTGCCAAAATTAGGGTTTCTTTTTGGGGTACCCTAAATCTTAGGTGCCGCATTATATTATAAGGACCCAAAAACGGTGCTACACTACCCCGCAAAGGGTCCTGGGTACTGTTACAGGGGGATACTTTCCCAAAGCATAATCGTAACTCCTACTAGTGAAGCCCCACATTCTTCTACATAAGAACTTAGGACCGTTTGGGAAACTTTTGACACCTGCGGGACGGTGCTCACTTTTGAAGGGAGGCGGAGTGGACTAAAGTCTAGGTTACGGAAATAGATCCGTTCTCTGAAATCCAGGTGGTAGTACCACTGCCACTCCAGCTATCTAGGCTAGGGAAAGCCTCCGCCGTGGATATCATGCTGCCTTGGAAGTGGAGTCTAGGTAGCACTATTAGGGAGACCCCTTAAAGGGTACCCCTTCTGAACCCTACTTCTGGCTCTCTTAAAAGGGGCCTTATTGAGAGGGTCTATATCCCCAAGGGTCCCCCTAATCCTAACTCCCAGAGTCGTCCATTTTGGGGACCACGACGCTGCCGGGGCCGATAGTGGCGACTATGGTAGAGGCAAGCGAGGCCGGGCCCGTTGGCCCCGGCTCCACCGGTGCTCCCGCAGAAGCACCAGCGGTTTAGGGTTTAGGCTTTAGGGTTTAGGGTTTAGGGACCCCTCGTGCCATGCCGGATGTGGTTGAGAGACTTCAACTTTTCCACCTGCACCCGCGTGCGCTCTTGCACAGGCAACTGCTGCGCCCGCTGCCCGGCCGGCAGCCAAAACAAGATTCCAGCGGCCTCATACAAGCCGAAGGCCCGGACCGCTCTGGCACAGCTGGTCGGACACCATTTCTCCATGAACGATGCATAACAACCTCAACCCGAAACACTTAAAGACTTGATCCCGGAGCATACACCTAGGTGACCGTGTCTGAATCGGAACCCATCGTAAACCCAGAAACCGTAATTAGTTTCAAGGTTTCAACTTGTCTGGGGTGTAGGATTTAGGGACTAGTCTGGGGTTTGGGCTGATCTTGGCCACGACGTCGTAGTCGTTCATCAGAGCGCCCAGGATCGCATGACCGGCCTGTGCCAAGGGTTCAATAGAATGCTTAGCGGGCTGTATAAGAGTTTACTTAAAGGATTATGGGACTTAGTAACTAGGGTTATAATTGGGGTAACTATACTTGTAATGACTTATAACTACTTATAACCCCAATTAAGGTACTTATAACCTTACTTACCAAGTCCCATGATCCTCCAAGTAGGGTTTAGGGTTTCGGGTCCGAAGGGTTCTAGAGGGCTTTATAGGAGTTTACACACTTGTTCACCACTGCTGCTTCAATCAAGCCTTTCTGGGGGGGGGGGGTGTAAAAGCTTTCTGAAGCGTGCTGGCAACAGGTGTCATGAGTGCTTTGGGGAAGCCTTTCTATCGTACATCACAGTGATATGACATAGGGGCTCGACATGCGCCTAAGTGAATGCCCCCTGTTACTATGTTAGACATCCTAAGGCTCTAATCAGCGCATAGCCCTTCTGTCACACGGTTTATGCCCCCCGAAGTTTGGAGCGATTGTTGTTGCTTTGCCACAGGTGTTTGCGTCAGCGTGGCTCGGAAAATAGAGCTTCTGGCAACTAAACCCCACACCCTGAACTTCTCCAAACCTTACTCTGAGGCATGGAGTTTAGGCTCAGAGTTCGGATGCTTGATCTTGAGGAACGGTTTAGGGTTTATTGGGTTTAGGGTTAGTCTTGGCTGCGGTGTGGAGGCTCCGGGCTTCTGCGCATGTCAGGGTTTCATCTTTAGAGACGAGGGGTAAAGTACCGCCCTTCAGGGCGGGGACTGTGGCTTTTTGGGCTTATGCTTCATCTTTTCTGGGTGGCACCCTAAACCCTAATCCCTGAAGCACCAAAACCCTAAAATGTAAAGCTCTAAAACATTCATGTAGGTGCCTCAATGACTAGAATAGATTTGAGTAGGGTTTGGGGGGACGTTAAGCTATAACTTTAATCAGGAGCCCCCAAAACCTTTTTCCAATTATCAAGGCCCCTGCTATGTTAAAGGCCTTGAACCGTAAGGCCCTCCACCCGACCTCATGCACCCTTGTCCTTTTAGAAATAATAGACAGAGCCCTATACCAAATCCCTTAGTAGGAATTATTTAAGAAGGTCTACTAGCCGGTCTGTTCATTCTTTTGGGGGAACCATACTTAACGGATCGTGGGACTTAGTAACTAGGGTTATAATTAGGGTAACTATACTTATAACTACTTATAACCCCAGTGAAGGTACTTATAACCTTACTTACTAAGTCCCATGATCCTCCAAGTAAAAAAGGACAAGGCTGACCTCATGATACGCCACGAGCTTCTTTTTCTGCTCGGACATGACCGCGTCTTTCTTCTCCAGGCCTGGGTGCACTCATTAAAGGGTTTCGGGCCTCAAGGAATAGACCCAAACCCTCAACACACCACTTTCCAAGCCTGCAAACCTTGAACCAGTTTAAAACGGATCCCCGAAACCAAGCAACAACTTCCGCAGAAGAGTGGCCAATAGAAATGCGCTCCAATGCATTGAAGATATCGTCGGAGTCGATTTCTGCCTCGTTCAGGGCTTTAGGTTTTTGAGGCTTTTCAGGGTTTTGGGGTTAGGGGTTTACGGTATAATTAGTATTAAAGGAGTCTTTCCTATCAAATGGCCTGTAGAGTCTGATAGTCAGGGGTTTAGGGGTCTGAGGGTTCTGGGGTTTTCAGTTTAGGGGGCTTCTGGGTTTGGGAGCCTAGAGGCTTAGTATTCAAGAGTTTTGTAATGGATTTGGGATTTCGTTCTCAGATGAGGTGTTGTTTGGTTTAGGAGTTAGCATTTCCAGGATTTATCACGGTCTCTTAACGGGTTTTACAACCCATCTTGCTAAGGACAGCTAACTATCTGAAAAGAGTCTCCAAGAAAGGTGTAGGAATTAGGGAGCCCAAATCCCAACACCGAAACCCTGAACCCTCACCTTAGAGTGAAGCGCTTGACATTCGAAAGCATAGAAGTTTGAGGCTGTGTTCGTCTCTCAGGCGCTTAGGCTTTCTCATGTAGAGGTCCGACAAAAGCAACACCTCATTCACAGCTCTAACCACTATGGGCTATTAGGCCTTAAGGGTACCTTAATCTACCCTTAATAGGGTCCTAATAGGGATCTTTAGGGTCCAATAGCCCATAGTGGAATGAAGTTGCACTATCATGTACTACGACATGAACCAACAAGTATGGGCAGGGGCAAGGCTTTGAGGGAGCGTTTCCAAGCAGTAAGGGTTGTGGGTGTTCATGTTTTGGGCTGCAGAATTAGAGCTTTGTAAACCTGCGGGAAGGGATGCAAAAGCTAACCACAAGATTTATTTGCACTGGTCCAAGAGTAAAAGGAGGGACCCTTAATAAGGACCCCCAGGTATATACCCTTACTATATAGCTATCATATTCCCATTATATAGACCATTCTAGGGTAGGGGTCCCCATTAAGGGTCCCCTTGCACTGAACACTTTCGCCCGAATGAAGGTCTAGGTCCCCTAGTCGACAAGGAATTAAACAGGGCTCCCTTGTTGGTATTGGGTACTTAAAGGGTCATGGGACTTAGTAACTAGGGTTATAATTAGGGTAACTATACTTATAACTACTTATTGCCCCAATTAAGGTGCTTATAACCTTACTTACTAAGTCCCATGGTCCTCCAAGTAGTTTTATAAGGAACCGACGACCAATGGGCCCTCTGGGAGGTCTAGAAACTGGGGTCACCTAATATGGGGGCCTGAATAAAGAGAATCGGGTTTTGGGGCCCATTGGACTATACAATGATAAAATGTGATCATAGTAAAAATAAAATGAAAAACGCCCCCCTCCAAAAGAGTTGTGTATAGGTATTTATTACAGCCCCTACAATAAACCCTAAAGCCTAAACCCTTAACCCCCAAAGCCTCAAACCCCATTTCAGGGAGACCTAGAAACTTGGGTCACCTAAACCCTGAAGCCTTAAAGAAATAGTAATTTTCCTATAAGGTAATTCTATATTAAGGCACCGATGTTCAACCCTAAAGCCTAAATAGTATAGGTAATTATTATTACACGGACCCAACAGTATAGGCAATTATGATACGGAACCGTTTGTTCACCTTAGAAGGCCTAAACCCAAAGCATCCACATCCGGCCTTGTTCTGGCGCGCAGCGACGATGGCGCCCTCGTTCCTTAGATCCACGGAGTGGGTTCCGTTTCCAAGGGGTCTATACGGGTTACTATGAGGGATCTATAAGGGTAGTGTAATGGGGCCTTAAACATAGACTAGGGTTTAGGGGCTCAGGGGATACTTGGAGGTTCATAGGTAGTTATCAGTGAGGTTATAGGGTCTATCAGGGATGAGGGTTTTAGCGCAAGTTTTTCGTGGGGTTACAAGTAGGGTAACCATAATTACAACCCATATTCGGGGACTTATCACCCCACTTATAGCTACCCCAAAAAACCTCCAAGTAGGCCCTAAACCCTATACCCTTATAGAATCCCTATAGATCCCTGCAAAGGGACCCTTAAGGGAACCCTTATAACTACCCATGAACCTCCAAGCAGGGACTCGAGAAGGCCTGAGGGCCTGAGGCGTCGTAGGAAGTCGCCCTGAGCACCCTAAAGCCTTCGCCCTCTAAACTTTACACCCGTTACTAGAGGGTTTAGGGTTTAGGCATTTCAGCGGTCCCCAAAATTGTCTATATTTAGGGCTCTGCATGTAGCAAAACAGGGAAGCTGACAAGTATCCCAAAGCGATACCTAGTATAAGCCCTGTGCCCTGGGCTTTGGAGCCTTAACCCATTGACTCGGCTAGTCTTCTACTGGACACCCGGAGATTTTGTGTTGAATTTCTAAGGCTGGCCACCAAAGATATCTGCAAAGAGAAGTGGGTGAGTAAAGATGCGAACATAGCGACTATCATCATGGTGATGGTCATAAAGGGGTTTTCAATTGAGGGGATGGTATACTACTAAGGTAGTCTGCAGGGGGCCCATATCCAAGGTAGCTCAGGCAAGCCAGCAAAACCATGAAGGATCAGGGAACGTAGAAGCCAAGGTTCACCTAAGGTAATTTGTACTTATATGATACTCCCACTGCGTAATTTGTACTTACAACTTATTGCCGCTTCTGCTTCGACCTTATATCCACTGCGGCTTGATCCCTGAAACTTTAAACCCGGAATCCAAACCGAGCGTTGGCCACCGGAACTGCAAAGAACCCAAAACTCCACATTTTGGCAACCAGAAGCCAAAACCCCGAACCTATAAGCTGAACCCTACCAGAGTTTATATGGGATGCGATGCTATCCAGCTTAGGGGAATGGAAACCCTGAATCCATAGCCCGAAAAGCTGACGACAAAGTCCTCTTCGCCGGGCCACGCTGGTTTATGATGGGATGGCTGTCACTTACGGTTGAGGAAAAGCCTACATAACATCCCGGTTGCCCCTAACCCAGACCCCTGGGAGGATGTAGAAAGTAGATCCCCTAATATGCGGCCCTATACTACTAAGGGTACTTTACAGGAACCCACCCTAAAAGGGATCTACAGTTTTGGATCCTCCAAAGGCGGTCTGGGAAACGGAAGCCTAAAAAAAACAATCTTCGGAACCAGGTGCAGGATGGTTCAGACTTCTACTTAAAGGATCATGGGACTTAGTAACTAGGGCTCCTTAAAGGGATCTATAGGGGTTCCCAAAAGGGATCTATGGGGTTTAGGGTTTAGGGTCTACTTAAAGGATCATGGGACTTAGTAACTAGGGTTAAGTATCTATACTTATAACTACTTTTAACCGCAATTAAGGTACTTATAATCTTACTTAACCTTACTTACTAAGTCCCATGACCTTTACCTGGACCCTAGGGAACCTGCCCTTTTCGGGTTCCCTAATATGATTTCGTTCTATAAGTCCTTAAAGCGGTAGGTTATTTGGGGTTAAGGACAGTAGAGTCCCTAAAAGTCCACGCAATAGTATAGTCTACCTGCCAGAACGTTCTTTTGGGGTAGGGTCCCTATAAATGCCATATTCGGGCTTATAGTAAGAACCTGCAAACAAATAGGTTCTGGTAGTTTAAACCTCTGGGACCCAAATATGTACTAAGTAAGTATTGTATTGGCATTTGGACACTTTGAGAAACTAGAACTGAGGCAAGCATCAGCAAGTTTGCAAGGTCTGCGCCGGACATGCCTGCCAGGACCGGTAGATTTAGGGGCCTTAATTGTTAGAATGGGGTTTGGGGAACCCCCAAGATAGTATAGGTAATGATTTAGGCCCCTATAGTAGGTTTAGGGTTTCGGACTATTTTCGGTGTTCCTTATTACAGCTGTAGTATAATGTCCCCCAAACCCTATTCTGATTGTGAGGGCCCTTACATTAAGGCCCTGAACCGTAATGCCCTACCCCCCCCCCCCCCCGCCAAACCCTATTCTGATGAATTGGCAGGATTGGAACAGGAGTCCCAATTCCTTCTAAGGGGTTTTACTGGGCTCTATGCGCGGGGCGCGGAGGGCTTTTCGTGTTTTGCAAACCTTGTACAAGCACTTTTTCAAGGTTCTGTGCTTGGGATTCAAGGGTTGGGTGTGCAGTTGAGGAAATTCTGCGGCTTTAGGGCGTTAGTGTTTTCTGGTTTAGGCGCTTGGAGCCTTTAGTTTGAAGATGCTAACTACTGCAGATGTCAGAATCATTACCGATGGTGTCCTGTTAGGGTCCCCCACACATATACCAACACAAAACCAAAGCCCCGTCCACATGAGTTCTCAAGCAGAGAACAGACTGCTTTGGGTTCGATTACATGGGAGTTTCCGAATTTTAGGGGTACCTTAGTTTGGGGTCCTTCTAATAAGGATCCTACTAAATTTAGGGTACCATATTAGGGTCCCCTAGTTTTGGCAGCTCCCAAATCCAATATAAGCGTCTTGAACTACCGGCCTGGGGTCTGCCTTGCGATGGCCGTGAGGTCAACACCGGCAGCCAGGTTCTTGCCCTCCCGCAGGCAGACACGGAGGGGTTTAGGGTTTAGGGTAGAGTGTTTAGGGCTTCTAGGGCTTACGGTATAAATCCCTAGGCACTAACTCTGAACCCTAAACCCTTCGGGGCTTTGGGGTGGAAGTCTGAGGGTTTAAGGCATCGATTTGGTTCTGTACCGTAAAGCAGTGCAGACCCCGACCCGGGGATTTAGCACTGATCAGAGTTGCAGGAGTCTACTGAATGGTGTTTACATACAAATGCTCTATATGTATATGTATGTGTGTATCTATACATACACATGTATACACGCATACATATGTATTCATGTGTATATATGCAAGCACATATATACACACATCTACGTACATGCGTATATTTAGATGTCTATTCTGTGCATAAAGAAAAACATAAGTACGTACATACATGAGATCAGGGTGTATGTATGCTTGTATACTAAATAGGGCCGACATGTTCCTTGCCCTGGCGCTTGTGACCAGGAATCCTACAAGCGAGATCTGTAGTTGAGGTTGCCCTTCAGGGGGGGGGTAGGGTGTAGGGTTTAGGGGTTTATTGCTTTGGGTGTGTGGGGTTTAGGGGTTGACTCACAAAGGTGATGTTCTCGCAGTCTCGCAGTTCCCGTGCAAGGCACACTCCGCGCAAGTGCACGCAAGGTGTGGTCTTTGTGCTGCTTGGGTAATCACGGGTTCCAAGTATAGGGTTATAACTCAAGTAAGTACTGCTAGACTCTGCTGGACTTACGTCCACGAAGGTCACTATACGTAGTACAAACCCTAAACCCTAAACCCTAAATCCTAGACCCCTAAACCCTAAACCCTAGTTAGAGCTTTCCGTGCTGACTAAGTCTCCTGATCCTCCAAGTGTGCATCTTGCGAGGCAAGAGTCTACTTGGAGGTTCATGGGTAATTGTAAGTGGGGTTATAGGGGATCCTTTAAGGGATCCTCTTAGGGTTCTATAGGATTTTAGGTTCAGGGTAGTTCTAAGTGGGGTTAGAAGTAGGGTAGCTATACTTATAACTCATATCAGGGGACTTATAACCCTACTTTATAACTACCCACGGACCGCCAAGTAGCCCTGCTTAACCGCTGTGTGGTGGGCCATGTTGCTCTCAGTATACGGTTTAGGGTTTAAGGAATTACAGGCCGGAAAGATACCAATACCACTCTCTTTATAACGATATTTACGGCGCCTGTATTGGCATCCACATTCAAAGCTTTGTTCTCGCCTTCCAGTACTAGTTGTGTAGGCTTCGTCTGTTATAGGGCTGCAAACCGTTGTAAACATCTTAGAGGGACTTGTAAAGATGTTAAATCAGACGGTAGGCCATGCAGTCTAAACCTAAACCCTAAACCTTCGTCGTGTCCGGGCTTTTTACTTGACCCTTTCAAATGCGGTGATAAAAGTAAACGCCCATAGTAACCCACAAGCCATATGTATAGTATGGCCTTCGCGTGGACCTTCAAGATCTCAGATCGCCCCTGAACATCAGGAGGATCCACCTGAGCAAAGGCTTGATATCCTGTGCAACTTTGCGGAGGCTTTATTGTAGGCGAAAGGCTTCAAGGTGCTCTTAGCTTCGTCACTTTAATTTAAGCAGACAAAAAGCCCAGTCCCAACATGTTCCAGCAAACATTACCGATCACAGTTTGCTAGAAGGTTGACAACCGCATACATTTGCCAGACCTACTTGAAGAAGTCTGTTCATCCACATACGCCTTAGTAGCCTTATCCCAAGAACTTGTGACACAGAGGCCCCCGTGGCACCTAAACGGAGCTCAACGGAGCTCTACCTAGACCCTTACATGGAGTATCTCGCTTGGGTACCTTAGTTTCTTATTACAGGAACCTAACCATGAAATACGGCATCCAATAAACGATACTACATTTAAGCTAATTTTAGGGTCTACCCAAAGGCCCCAAAGTAGTTCCTGTTTGGGGTTTATATTTAGAATTCTATAATAAGGTAATCCCAAAAAAGAACTACTATGGGGCCGATGGGTAGATATTATTATTATTGCCCAAAGTCTGGAGACCATGACCTGTGGAGGCCACCGGATGACGGTACGTAGTGGGTGTCCGAAAACCGCCGGGGACCCCTGATTCATAGGGTTTAGGGTTTGGGGTTTAGAGTCTGGGGTTTAGGTTTAGGGTTTGGGGGTTTAGGGTTTAGGGTTATCCCGCCCCCCGGACAGAAATCAGGGTCGTGATCATAATGATAATGCCTTTAACCGTTGCCTAAACCCTTGAAAGTAGTTATACGCCTTGTTTGGGCAACCTGTCTTTGAGGTTAGACTGGATATGACAAGAGACCAAGACAACCAACAAATGTTTTACATTATAGGCGCCAGCATTGCACCTCACACATCGGCAAAGACGAAACCCTTCAGTGCAAAACTGCCAAGAGCAATTCCCCTGAACCCTCTACCCTAAACCCCTAGACCCTAAAACCCAAAACCTTGCAGCCTAAAACCCCAACCCCCCATGTAAAGAACTAGGACTCCCAACCGCCACGCCTGGATCTGACGATCGAACCGCCCAGGACGGACGAGGGCTTGGTCGAGGATGTCCTCGGCTTCTCACGACTTAAACTGGGTTCCCTCTTGGGGGGCTCTTAGGGTTTAGGGTTGGTTCCCTTTTGGAGGGCTCTTCGGGTTTGGGGTTAGGGCTTGCGGAAGGGTTTGGGGTTAAGCAGTTTAGGGATTCTTGGGGGTTGTGTTGGGGTGTATCTGTATTATCGTACAGGCACCTAGAATCGGGTTGCGCGGTATTTCTTCTATATGCATACTGGCTAGCTGCTCAAGTAGGATGATTTCAAAAGGGCTCCTTAATTGGGGGCCCTTGTATGGATGACTAAAGAGGTACTGCTTTGAGGGTTAGGGTTTCTTACTTGTCCAGTTTCCAGGGGGCACTTCAGGGTAGCGTTTGGGGTTATACAGGGGACTTACAGGGTCTTTCGCACCCCAAAGAAACTAAGCGTTACGCACGCTACTGCGAAGACTAGGGTTCTGAGTTTCGGGGTGAAGGGTTCAGGGTGTACGGTGGGGAATACTATTTGCTCCGATGCTTCTCAGGGGTTGCAGCACATCCCCGAGTCTGCGGGGCCTCTGCGCCACAGACTATCGAAGCCCTTGAACTCTAGACTCTAAATCCTGCTGTAACCACGCAACCAGCAAGTCACCGGAACTACTGAAGGTAAGTACCCCGCAATACTTTAACCCTTTGGGGAGCTTTAGTCTTAGCAAGCCTGACTGTAAAGCCTTTCAGCCCTAAGCCCCAATTACTAAACCTCAACCCTGCGAGACAGGAGTTTATGACCCATAAAAATATACCTCTATCCTTAGGGCTCCTGACTAAAAGCTTCTGTATATAGTCCTTGATACGGTAGGTACACATGTTGGGCTACATGCAGATAGGGTAGAGCACCTTGATTCTCAAGTGGACTCCGAGTAAGTAGGGTAGAGCCCCTACAAGTTCGCTAAATCCACAGGTAGAGCCCCAAAGCACCATCTCCTCCAAGCCCTCAAGAAGCCTAACCCCTCCCCTCTAAATCCGAATTCCTAAACCCTGAACCCAAAAATCCTAAACTTCGACCCCCTGCGGTCTAGTGTTTCGGGTCCAGCTCTACCTTTGTAGATCCTCCCGGTGCTCCGGTGGGTCATTTAGGAAGGGGGGTGGGTCGATATACCACAACTATTAAAAAAAAAACTGTAAAAAAAAAACATAACTGCCCACTCCGACCCCCAGACTATAAATCAAAGGTGTAACTGGGGTTTCAGATCCAGGGGCCTAAACCCCAAACCCTCTAAACACCCAAACCCTCCACCCTAAACCCCTCAACCCCGAAACCTTAAACCACCTCAAACCCTAAACCTTGGATACTGCCCCCACACACTAACAGTCTATAATAGGGCACTATTAAGGGCCTAGCATATCTATATTATGAATATTATCCAACTGTTACTGAGTGGGGGCAGCATCCAACCTAAACCCAACTGACCTTAAACCACCTACACCCCTAAACCCCAAAACCCTAAACCCTAAAACCCTAAACCCAACTGACTTGACGTGGCAGGCTGCGGCTCGGTTCGTTGCTGCAATAACCACGACTCCCTTGTTGGCCTCACTTTCGGGGCTGAGGCTAATACTTGGGACTTAGTAAGTAAGGTTATAAGTACCTTAATCGGGGTTATAAGTAGTTATAAGTATAGATACCCTAATTACAACCCTAGTTACTACGTCCCATGATCCTTTAAATAGGGTTCCCTCAAGGGTCCTATCAGGGTTACTACAAAGGGTATTTGGGGGTTGAATTAATGTAGGGGCCTTAGTAAGTAGAACAGGGTTTAGCGGTAGATTACAGTATAACTATAATAAGGAACCCACAACATAGTATTGGCAATTACTTAAGCCACTGTTTTAAGATTTGAGGTTTGGGGATTGTGTTAGGGCTTTCAGGTTCGGGGGCGCTGGGGCCGCTAGGGCTCATGGGCCTGTTTTCAGGATTCAGAGTCCAGGAATGTGAGGGCTTGAGAAGTTTAGCAGATTTCGGGCCAGACCCCTCACTTAACGAGGGTTAAAATGTGGGATTATGCCCTTTCAACTATTCGGTTGCGCATTCGAGCACTCCCCGTATGTAAAGAGCTCTGCCACCGTGTGTATGAAAGGACCTGACATCCGAAAACTGAAGTCCTAACCTGCAAAACCCTGATTTGACACAACCTGACCCCAGAACTCCTGTGAAAGCTCGAAAATCTTAAGCCCCCAGCTCTCCGCGCTAATAACTGACCAGTGGTTTTGGGGTTCCCTGGGCTCTTTAGCTCCTTAATCAATAGGAAAGATCATCATCCCTGCTCCTTAGCTCCTCCAATATCAAAGGCTAGATAATCTCAGCTCCCGACGAGAAACCCGAGCATCACTACTTCACCCTGCAAAAACAGCTTGAAAAGAACCTGTAAAGGAAGCGACAACCGTGAATACACCTCACGCTTCAAACCGCTCAGACAGAGCTAAAGCCTCGAAGCCATCCATCTCTGTCAAGAGCTGATTCCTGAGCATAGGCTTAGTCCCGAAGACCTTCTAGACACCTTCGAGGGCCTAGGGTTTTGGGTGTAGGGGTTTGGGGTACGTCCCAGGTTATGCACCTCATTAGGACCCCTCTGTATAGTCTAGTATACTACGCCATTATGCCTTGTTTGAATGTAACTCCCTGATTAATACACCAGCCCTTTTTTCAAGCCCTTTATTCATTAGGCCGCCTCTCGCTCAGCCCCTCAGGCAAAGATCCCTTGAAGAGTCTTTCTTAATTCGGGGAAGGCGGTTTATTGCTGGGGGTCTTCGCTGGCAAGTCCCCAAATAAGGCGTTTAAGCACTTTAAACAGACAATCCTCCCGTTGTTATGAAACAACGACCCATGATTCACTGTTACTCCGACGTAGCAACACAGACTGGGAAGAGGGCTCTGAAATCCCGATATTGCTTGGAACTTCCTTGCTAATCATTCAGACCTCTGTAGTCCTAAATCCTAAAGCTGTCTCCCGTTATAACTACAGCTCCTATTGAACCCTTGTCGGAAAACTGTCAGGAATCCCTTTCGGACCTCTTAGAGCCCGGACCGTCGTTGCATGAACCTCACACCCCAAGCCGCCCAACACCTAATCCTAATGGTCACAAAACCTACAAACTAGGTTTTTGGGATTCCTTGGGTTAGTATTTATATGGGAGAGCATATGATATATTGAGTACTTGGACCCTGAGTGTATAACCCAAAACCCAAAACCCTGCGTTGCCCTCAAATGGCAAGCAAGAAATGTATTGTGGAGGTTCCTATGACAGACACCATACCCGCTCAAAAGCAACACCTAAAAACGGAAATTGCTATTGGGACTGCCAGCATGATAAATGCTACTGACAGAACTCAGATGAGTAATATTTGCAAATACTCGTACCGCCGAGGCGCACCGTCTGCTCTCGCTCATCGTTACCCTGGCCGAAACCGGCGCTGCGCTGACGGCCAACCGCATCAATCCTCAAGGAAGGAGGTCTGGAGGCTCTCTAGGGCTGACGGGTTTAGGGCTCATTGGTGCTTCGGGCCCAGTAGACAAATACGTATATGTGCGTATATATATATATATACATATATAAATATATACATGCATCTTTACATATACACACAAGCATTTAAAATGTGTGTGTGTATACATATGCATACATACACACACGGACAGTATGTATATATGTATCTATATACATGTGGGAGTTCAGGTTCTTGGTTTAGAGTCTGAGTCTGAGCCACGGTGCACATCAAACATATAAGGGGTCAAAGTACGACATCATGGCCAGATGCTCTCTCTCTCTCTCTCCCTCTCTCTCTCTCTCTCTCTCTCTCTCTCTCTCTCTCTCTCTCTCTCTCTCTCTCTCTCTCTCTCTCTCTCTCTCTCTCTCTCTCTCTCTCTCTCTCTCTCTCTCTCTCTCTCTCTCTCTCTCTGTCTCTACCGATGTATGCATGCACGCGTGTGGACATTGGTTTGTTGCAATGCCAACCTGCATTGCTACTGCCCCTACAATCAAATGCGTCGTTATGTAGTACTCGGAAGCTTAGGATACCTCGAGAATTGTGTTAGGACTATACACTACCGTCCCCAGCAACCCCTCAAGAACAAAGATTTCCTTTACATATGCATTAAGACTCCAACGAACGACTCAAACATGACATGGCACAAAAGTACCGCAGGTGAACCGCGACTGAACTGGGTTCTTGTTAAGGGATTTGATTTAAGTTTCCATAATAAGGAAACCAAACTAGTTACTATAGATCCCGATTATAGTAACTCAAGCTGAATTCCTCAACAAGAACCCAGTGAAGTGTGCTTGGGAAGTGTGCCAGTTTTCGTCTGAGTCTCTGCAACCACAAGACTCTCACGGCGTGACTGCTTTCGGCATCCGGGTTTAGGACCTTTGAGTAACACCTTCTGACAATGTGTGTTATAGCTTGCGTAAAACCGTCTGCCCATGTGTCGTAAACCCCGAACTCCGAACCCTTGACCCCTGCATGAGACTGTTACCGCCGCCCCAGCTGACCACGGATCCATCACGTAGAATCGCCGAAAAAGCAGCAGAAGAGGACTGGATCTGCTGGACCTCCTTCAGCTGAGGCTGAACGGAAGTGCTGTCACTGCTAGCGCCGCCCCAAGTGACCACCTGGGTTCTTGTCAAGGAATTTGCATTAAGTTACCATAGGCAAACCATCGTATTTACTATAGATCCCTGTTATGGTAACTTGAAAAATCCTTTAGCAAGAGCCCAGCCACAGATCCATCTCCGACGATCGCCGCAAAGCCGTCTCCAGATGCTTGGATCTGCTGTACATCTTTCAACTGATCCTGCACTGCTGTGCTGTCACCGCCAAACTCGTCAGGACCCCACGACACGACGGATCCATCATCCAGAATGGCAGCAAAAGCACGCTCAGAAGCTTGTATATGCTGCACACTTCTCAACCGGTCCTGCACAACGCGGCTGTCACCGCCGCACTGCGCATTGCCCCAGGTCACTACAGATCCGTCCCGCCGGATCGCAGCAAAAGCGCCAAGGGATGCCTGAATGTGCTGCACTTCCGTCAACTGATCCTGCACAGCAGTGCTGTTGCCCCCAAAATCTGGATCACCCCAGCTCGCCACAGATCCTGTTCCTAGGACGGCGGCAAAAGCGGCAAGGGAGGCCTGGATCTGCTGCACGTCTTTCAGCTGATCTCGTACGGCTCCGCTGTCGCTGCTGCGACTCTTCGTGTTCCTTACTTACAGCTTCTCTGGGAAGCCATAGGCTGGATCATACAAGGAGTATAGGGATTAGGCTCTAGGGTTTATAGGGTTTGGGTTGAGGGTGTGATACCCAAAAAAGTAACGGTTACTTTCTCGACTACAAATCTCTACAACAAAACTTCAAGAACCCCACAGATCTCTGGCAGGAACGAGGTTCCCCCAGGCGACCACAGATCCATCACCCAGGATAGCAGCGAAAGCATTTATGGAAGCTTGGACCTGCCGAACATCTTTCAGCTGCTCCTGCACCTTTCTAGGGCATCGGGATCAGATGTCTTGCTGGGGTTTAGGGTCTGGTGTCTTCCTGGCGTTTAGGGTTTGGATTACTACTACACGATGTAAAACACAAAAAGCTTGAAGGTTGGCTATTGGAGAACCCAGGCACAGCACTGCTATCCCCGCCAAAGTCCGCATTACCCCAGGTGACCACCTAGCTTGGCACTGTGAAGCCTCGGAAACACGTTTGTAAACCTCTTAATCCCAATACGTGAAAATGTAAAGTATAGTCCAAAGGCCTACCTGGCACGTACCGTTGTGAATATTATATATAAACATGTACATATGTATATGTAAAACGTGAGATAACTATCAATATCAACACAAGAACATATGTAGACATGTGTATGTATATGTATTAGAGAGATACATGATGTGTCTTTTTAAGCATATAAATAAAATAAAATTTGCAATAACAACAAAATTGTTATTAATAATAATAGTAGTAATAAAAATATTAGCAATAATACTAATAGCCAGTACCAAGCAACAGATCCCGACCCCAGGACGGCAGCAAAGGCGGCGCAAGAGCATTGGATGGCCCGGACATCTTTCAACTCGTCCTGGGCTCCGGGCTTTAGGGAGGGGTTTAGGGTTTAAGGGTTTAGGGATCGTTTAAGGGTTCCTTTAAGGGTTCCTTTAAGGTTCAGGACTTAAAGAGTTTAGGGTTTAGGATTTTAGGATTTAGGGCTTTAGGGAGGGGTTCAAAGATTTAGGGGGGTCCCTATAAAAGGGATCTATAAGGGTTCCTTAAAAGGGATCTATATGAGGGTTCTATAAACGGGTTTAGGGTTTAAGGGTTCAAGGGTGTAGGGTTTAGGGGTTTAGGGTTTAGGGTTTAGAGGTTTAGGGTGTAGGGTTTAAGGGGTTTAAGGTTTTAGGGTTTAAGGGGTTTAGGGTTTAGCGTTCAGAGGTTTAAGGGTTTAAGGGTTTAAGGGCTTAAGGGTTCAGGATTAAGGGGTTTAAGGGTATAGGGTTTAAGGGTTTAAGGGTTTTGGGTTTAAGTTTTTTTTAAGTGTACTGGCTAGGTTTAGGGGTTTAGGGTTTAGGGTTCTGGCGTTGGGGAGGGGTTTAGGGTTTACCTTAACCTACCAAAACCTACTTTGTGGGTAGGGCCCCATTAATTCCATAATAGGGTTTATATTAAGCACCTACAAAAAAGTGGGGTTTAGGGTTTAGGGCTTTTGGGGTTTAGGGTTTAGGATCCACGGTTTAGGGTTTAGGGCTCTTGCTAGGGAGCTTTTTTCAGCAAGTGATACGTAGGGAGCCCTTTCTCAGTAAGTGATGGTTATAGTGTATAAGATACCATGGTTGCCAAGGAAACCATATGGCCATATGTTGGTGTCCTTGTTATGGTAACTTAGACAAGTTAGGGAGCTTTTTTCGGAGCAAATGATACTTGTTTCCATATCTATGGTAACTGTAACCCTAAAACCTAAACCCTAAGCCCTAAACCCACCCTAGACCGCAAACCCTAGACCGTAAACCCTAAACCCTAAGCCCTAAGCCCTAAGTCCTAAACCCTAAGCCCCAAACCTTAAACTCCTTAACAAGAGCCGAGGCTCCTGAACGACCCGGCTGTCGCCGCCATGCTTGGAGTCCCCCCAAGTCACCACGGATCCATTCCTGGACTTTGAAGTAACCACTATACTGAACTTAGAACCCTGGCAAAAATTGTAAGTTTAGCTGTTTCTTAGGGATTATAATAACCAAAAATTAGCAATTATTTCTAAGTACCCCTAAGGGACTTTGAAGTAACCAGGGAGAAAAACATATTGACTTTTAGTTCATAATGGTTCTTCTAAGGAACAGGTACCAACAAAAGCATTCAAGTATAGTACTCCAAACCCAGGAAGGATTCCACAGGATCGCCGCGAAGGCTTTCTGAGACGCTTGGATTTCCCGCACATCCTGTAGCCTAGGATCCCGAGTGGCCTCGAAAAAAACAGGGATCGCTTTTGGGTACTGGGCGGTATTTTGCAAGGAACCTATCACCAGAAAAAGTGAAAAAGGGCTCACTGGGAGACTCAGTGGCGGATCCCGAGAAGAGCTGAAGTAGCCACCGCAAGAAGCATCGCCCCAGGTCACGACCTTTCTTCTCCAGTGTTCCAGAGGAACTAAAAGGTTAATCTGTGGTGTTTCTTAGAGTAGGGATGAAGACAGTAATTACTCAAAATTAGGAGAAGGATTGGAGTTTACTTACTCTGCGACCAGGCGGCAGACCCATTTTCCAAGATTGCAGCGAAGGCATGCCCAGAGGCTTGTATTTGCTGCACATCCTTCAGCCGATCCTGCACCGCACTGCTGTCGCCACCACACTCGGAATCGCCCCAGGTCTCCACGGATCCATCGCCCAAGATTTTTGCAAAGGCAGCTCCATGTACAAATACCAGCTTCTTGGATGCTGCGACGAGGACCTGCGTAATGCGCAGGGTCAGCACATCACCGCTCTGCAGCCTTGCTTCTGCGATGGTTGCTGTTCCGGGCAGGACCCGCCCAGAGGAGTTCAGTAGCCTTCCGTTCCCCACTCCCAGAGAACTCTGGGCACGCTGCCTCAAAGCGTTCACGGACGTCTCTGCCTCCACTTCTAGAGAGACCATCTTCCCACTCATCAGGTGCACATCCACAGAAACGGACATAATGCAGAACGCAGAGTAATACGGGAGTTTCCGCAAATAGGGACCCTGATATGGTACCCTAAACAGTAGGAGCCTTATTACAAGGACCCCAAGATAAGGTATCCCTAATTTTCGAAAACTCTAAACCCACCTAGTAACCGTTTAGGGGAACCTTATAGTACCTTTATCGTAACCCTTTAAAGGAACCGCCCCAATTATCGGAAACTCCCATATATGTGGTGGGCACTGCAGCACTTCCGCCTACATCCCAAAGCTCTTGACTCGAAAAGCCAACAGCGAGTCTGCTTTTGAATAGCTTTTTTGAATCATACTTCAGGGTTTTTACGGCCTGGAGTTTTCAGGAGCTTAGGATACATGATTTGTGGGGTCGTTGTTTGGCGAACTACGGTGTCAACACTCACAGACATGGTAGGATTTTTGGTAGATCAGGGCCAGCTTAAGGTGAGAAAAGGTCTTCCTACTCTTACACGGTGTTGTATCCATAGTGGTCAAACAGGTCAGGTATATTAGCTCGACAGCTTTTTTGGATGTTCGTGATAACATGAGGCCACTAGCCCTAAACATGAGAAGGGTTCTGGGGTATGGTATGCTATCGTGCTGATCAGGAACGCCAAGTACCAAGGAGCCATTATTGTGCAGTAAGCATTTGACTCCCCCTTTTGCTCAGAGACATTGGTTGCATCCTGAATTTCTCAGGGTAGTTGAGCCTGATAGGAGTTCTTGTGTCGCCACTTCAGGGCAGCTGTATGTACTGTATGGCATGTATACCCTAAACCCTAAACCCTAAACCCTAAACCCTAAATCCTAAACCCTAAACCCTAAACCCTAAACCCTATCTATGGTATGGGTACACACAAAGCCCTAGCAAAACTGAACAGGTCCTACAAGAAGCATGGGCCGGTCGAAACGAACCTTAAGCCTAAACCCTTCAGAACACTAGTCCCTAAAGTAAAAGCCAGAAAGTTGGAATATGGATATCCTAAACCCTTTATGGCAAATTACAAGGTATCCTACCCTGAAACCATATTCCAACTTTCTGGAGTTCCCCTTAAACCCTTTATTAGAAAGTCTCAAGGAACACTCATGCATTGAGCAATCGACTCGAAAAGAGTGTGGGGCTAAAGGTTCCTGTACGATTCTTGCTGGAATGTTTTGGATGCAGGGTTCCAAGAGGTTTCTTAAAGTCAGAGAGACCTTGTAAGGGCTTTGGGTTCAGGGATTAGCGACGCGGTCCTGATGATAAGAATCCTTGCAAGTTTAGTGGGTGTTCCTGCTCTGCTGCGAACCAGCAGTACTATTATAGAACTGGGTTCCCAAAACCACAATGGGAATAGTCTTTCGGGACCTAATTCCATAATTGTCGTACATATGGACCCTGAGGGTAAGGATCCTACCATGCTCAAGCAGCCAAGAAGCTCATCAATGAAAATGATGCAGGGTGCCGACCTTTGTGAACGAACAGTCATGACGTGGTGATGACCGTGGGCGCAGCAATGATACATAATGATACTAGAGACGATAAACATATTAATCACCAGACTGTAAGTAACAACATGCGAACAATACGATCAAACCTCCTGTGGAATCAGACTTTGGCCATGTAGCAAAAGGGGTTGACGGTCGAAGTGCAAGACCCAATGAAGGATGCGATAGCAAGAAGGACTTTGATTGGCTTTACCGTGCTTATGGAAGGCTGCTACACCGCCACCCCAGGGCAGCACTCTCTGCAAGCGGCCCCTGGAAGATCTCTGAACACCAGACCCAAAAATCTGAACCCTAATTCCTCTACACCCCCAACACCTCAAGGTTCATGCGTAATTAGTTATAAGTGGGGCTAGAAGTGGGGTACATATACTTATGACTCTTATTGCGGGGCTTAGAACCCTACTTATAACCACCCATGAACCTCCAAGTAGAGTCTGGGTTTATGCCTGAAGTCCCCCTGCCCCGGACTCCTACCCACAGGGTCCAAAAACCCTCTTAATCAGCTCCCCCCCCCCCATATTAGCCACACCTGCCACCATCCTAAACCCAAGCACCAAACTATTGGGAGAGCAGTAACCCCCAACGCAAACGCCAAACCAAACATAAAACACACACACACAGACACACACAGCATTCGGTACTTTAGACACTACCCAGAGGCCCCAAAGTAGTTCCTTTTTGGGATTACCTTTTCGGCTTTTATATATGAACCCCCAAAAGGAACTGCCATAAACCCATACTAAGAACCCTCTAAACGTTGAGCGAGGTGCTTCTTGGCCTGGTCGAAGAGGTCTCGAACACGGGAGGCGCCGATACCTCTTGGAGTTTACCGTGAGTTACCACATGTGCGGAGTTATACGTCTAGAGTCTAGAACTGTATGTTCACATTCACACTCCTTTCTGCTCATCTGAGAATATCTTTCTCTCTCTCTCTCTCTCTCTCTCTCTCTCTCTCTCTCTCTCTCGCTCTCTCTCTCTCTCTATATGTGTGTGTGGTTATATGTGTACATACATATGCATAAATGCGTTTGTGTATATACATATCTAGTATGTATATGCATGTGGGGAGGTATGTATGTGCCTGCGTGCACACGCACACATTTACGTACGTATGTATGCACGTATGTATGTATGTATGTAGGTGATGCAATGTATTGTTGTACGATGTAATGTGATGAACGTATGTATGCGTTCATATCTGCATGTACGAATGTATGCGTGCATGCATGGCAGGCTAGCGAGTGAATGAATGTATGTGTGTCCGTTTGTTTGGTTGCTTGTCTGTTTCTCTACGTGTTTGCCTGTTTGCACATGTAGTTAAGACACGTATGCAGACATCTCTTTTTTATACAGATATGATATACTCCGGGCCTTGCATACGCTTATCCAAGCAAATTTTGTAGACACATGTTAAGAATCTTTAGGCCTGGAATCGCCTACAGACAGAGGTTCCTGGATTGGGTGCAGGGGAACATATCCACTCTTTAGGGTCGTTTCCTGCAAAGGTGCCTCTGCCACCACAGGCTGAAAGATTCACTCTTAGGGGTTTAGGGTTTAGGGTTTAGGCTTCATCATAAGCCCTGTGCAACCCTGCCACACCTGTCACACCCTAGCAGCACACCAAAGATCTCAGAGGAGCTTTGCAATAACAACGCCCAAAGCCGTCAACAGCTTTGCGACGCCTACACCGTCACTCGCTCAAGCACTGGAAACCCCTTAATCACAGCATGCTTTGGAACCCGAAGCGCACTAAGTACCTATATGTAGTAGAATGAAAAACGGTTTCTGTACAAGGAATCAAATACTACTATGCTATGGGAAGGTACCCATGATAACAGGGTCCCCTGAGTGATGCGGGTACAAGTTTTCCTGGTATTCAGTTTTCATGAGGGAACCCCAAACTACAAAGGGCAAACGGGTACTATTGAGGAATCTAGGATCCTTATAGCAACCATTAGTGCACCCTTGATAATATCCCTTACACGAACCCCTAGCCCTACTGAGGCCCTACCCAGAGGCCCCAAAGTAGTTCCTTTTTGGGATTACCTTTTAGGATTCTATATACGAACGCCCAAAAGAAACTACTTTGGGGCCTTTGGGTAGCCCGTAACCCAACCCTAAACCCAAATCCCTAAACCCCCTAATTTAAAACCCAAGGCCTTGAACCCCCAAAACCCCAACACCGCTACCCTAAACCCTAAACACCCTAAAGCGGAACCTAGGACCTAAGAGAACCCTGAAGGCCCTGCCTGCGAAGATCTCCACGAACTCCGAGGCGGAGATGCCTTGAAGTTTAGAGGTTTAGGGGTTTTGGGTTTCAGGGTTTTCTATACTGAACTTAGAACCCTGGCAAAAATTAGAATTTTAGCTGTTTCTTAGGGATTATAATAACCAAAAATTAAAAAAAAAATCTAAGTACCCCTAAGCTTTAGGGTTTTAGGGGGTTTCGGGGTTTTAGGTTTTAGGGCGTTTAAGGCTTTTCGGGCTTTAGTGTTTAGGGTAAGGTGTCAGGTTTTGCTGAGCTGTCGAGCTTTAGGGTTCAGAGTTTAAGGCTTAGGATGGTAGGCTAAGGGTTTAGGCTTTAGGGCTTTAGGGTTTAAACCGGTTTAGGTGATTTCATTGTGCACATCTGAACCAATGCTTTAGGGATTTGATAAGGGGCTCTATACATCGGGTTATTCGTAAGGGTTTTTGATAGGTCTGCACCTGATTACAAGTAGGTGCAGCGTTTAGGACAAAATTTTTGCTTGCGGTTACCAAGCTTGGGGAGTGTAGAGTTTTGCAGGGCTTCCTCGAAGGCCCAATTACCCAAACCCAAAGGGTCCTTTGTACCGATATAGTAGAATGTAGGGTTTCCATAATGGGAATTACTCTTCTGACTTAGGGAAGTATCCCCCATAACAGTACAAAGCACCCTTTGGGAAAATGGTAGGACTCTAAACTATGGGAATTATGGTATATTCCTCATTATGGGTAATGCAAAATTTATGCCATCAACAGTAGTAGAGCTTTGGGTGTCGAGCGGCTGAAGAAAGGGACGCCCGCTTCGCCAGCCACTGCCTTCGCCAGCAGCGTCTTTCCTGTACCTTACTTGGAGCGTCGGCGGACTTAGTAACTTGTTATTTTAGTGACTTATAAGTACCATAACCCCAACTAGGGTCCCTTTTAGGGCACTTATAAGTCTATTTACTACCTACTTACTAAGTCCCCCGACCCTCCAAGTAGTGCTCTGTGCTGCGAAGACAGAGTAGAAAATTTAGTAAACTTTCAAGTGTTCGGAATCCGGCAATATACGGGCCTGAATAACTAAGGAACCCCCAAAATAGTATTGATGAATACTTAAGCCCCTATAGTAAGCTGTTGTGTTTGGTGTCCCCTTGATCTCGACTCTCACATGCAGCAGACACGAAGATCTACATATCTTAAGCATTCCCGCCCATGACCCGAAGTGAGAAGCCACCACGCCTTGATGAAAG